GTTCTTGTGATTTCTTTTGCCATTGATCTCCAATTTCATTATATTATGGTCTGATAATATACATGGGAAAATGTTAGTTCCTTTGCACTTAATCAGCCGTGTTCAGTGAGCTAGTACATGGTTGTTTCGTAGAACATCAGGTATAGCTGAGAATGTGTATTCTGATGTGGTAGAGTGGAATACTCTGTAAACATCTACTAAATCCATTTGTTTAAAAGCTTGGTTCAGATGGGCATGGTGCACACCTGTAATCCCAGCACTCAGAAGGCTGAGACAAGAGGATTACCAGGAGTATGAGACCAGCCTGTTATACAAAGTGAATTCAAGGCCAATCTGAACTGCATTGCAAGCCCCTGTCTCAAAAAGACAAAGAGAAAAGCCTAGGTGTGGTATTGCACAACTATAATCCCAGCGGCATTTGGGAAACTGAGGCAGGATTGCTGTGAGTTCCAGGCCAGCCTGAACTGCATAGTAAGACCTTGTTTCAAAAAAAAAAAAAAAAAAAAAAAAAAAAAAAAAGACAAAACCAACCTTTTGATTCAGTTTTATTTGTTTGTTGATTTGTGATGGGGGGGGTAATTGAGGTCCCCCGTTACAGTTGTATTAGTGCTTATTTGATTTTTCATGTCCACTAATATTTGTTTTTTTATAGTTTGGTATGCTGGTAGTATATACATTGATGTCTGCCTTTTAGATTGTTCCCCTCATAAGGGGTATAGTGATCTTCATCTCTCAGTCTTGGCTTGAAAAAAATCAGTCTTGGCTTGAAACCCACTTTATTCTCAAACAGAATGCCTACCTCTGCTTTTTCTGGATTACTGTCACATAGAGTATTCCCAATTTTCCCAATTTTGGGGGGGTGGGGGGAAGATCTACATTTAATTTTTTTTTCCTGGGCAGATACTTTCCCATTTTTAAGTGTATGAATGGTTTTTCTTTTTGGGACAGGACCTCATTTCTGTAGTTCAGCAGGTTGGACTTGACCTCGCTGTGTATCCTAGGTTGGCTTGATTTGAGGCAACTCTCTTGCCTCAGCCTCCTGAGTGCTAGATTATAGGCTCGCACGCACCACCATGCCCAACACGAATTTTTGAATTAAATGTGTTTCTTTTAGACAGCATATTGTTGGATCTTACTTCTTGATCCATTCTGCTAGTCTGTTTCTTTCTTTTTTTCTCTTTTCTTTCTTTTTTTTCTTTTTTTTTTTTTTTTTTTTTGGTCTTTCTTTCTTTTTTGAGGCAGAATATCACCATGTAGTTCAGGCTGGCTTCAAACTCACAACAATTCTCCTACCTCAGCCTGCTGAGGGCTGAATCTGTTTCTTTTGATTGGTGAATTGAGACCACCAAGATTGATGGTTATAATGATATGTATTGACTTATCCTTGTCATATTATTTTCCTGATGTCAGTTTTTTTGTTTGTTTGTTTTTAAGGGAATAAGGCAAAACAAAACAATAAAACAAAACAATTAGAACAATATTGGATTTCAAAAACTAGACAGAAGGAAATCCCCCATAGTTGCTATATTGCATATTATTATCCTCTAAATAGATGCTCAGTCTACTGGATTTAGGCCTGCAAAATTAATCACACAATACCAGCATTAAAGGTTTTTTTTACTTCAGTTACTATCACCTCAGACTGTGTTCCTCTGAACCAACTGGTTGCTTACTGAGGAGGCAGGGCACTGCAGTGCTCTTCCTGTCTCCTAGCCCATGTGCAGGCAGGCTCATAGGAAGGGGCTGGCTTCTTGGTTCTCTTGGTTCCCGTTTTGTCTGTCTGTTTCATTGGTTCCCTTGACTGGTGGATTCCCTCTGTTAGAGTTCATGGAATTATAGTCCTGGCAATTGAACTCACAATGTCATGCTTGCCAGGCAGGCACTTATGCTACTGAGCTAAATCCCCAGCCCTAGTCCTTGTTATTTCTTTCCAAAATGTCCTTCAGAACATTTTGGAGTGCTGCTTTGGTGGTCATGAATTTCTTCAGGTATTCTTTGTTAGTGGAAGTAACTTACGTCTCCCTCATTTTTTTTTTTTTTTTTTTTTTGGACAGTGTCTTGCTATGTAGTACAGGTTGATCTTTCTCCATCAGTTCAGTTTGTTTTGGCTTGAGACAGCGTCTTGCTTATGTAGCCTATGCTGGCCTCAAGTTCATGGCAATCCTCCTGCCTCAGCCTCCCACGTGCTGTGATTACAGGTGTGTATCAGCACACCCTGCATCTCCATCAGTTTTGAAAGATAGTTTTGCAGGGCACATCAATTTGGGTTGGAGATTGCTTTCTTTACTCCAAGCTTTCCTCAACTTGAGAATTTGTGTTGAGAAGTCTGCTGTGACTCTGGATTTTTCTTTATAGGTGATTTGTTTCTGTACTCTAACAGCTTTTAATATTCTGTTTGTGTGTTGAATTTCTGGAATATTGACTATTGTATGTCTTAGTGTAAATTTTTTTTTATTATGGCTAATGGTAGTAATTCTATATGCCCTCCTTATCTGGGTGTTACATTCTTTTTCCCTGCTTGGGATGTTTTCTGCCATTATTTTTATGAACAGATTTTTTTAAATTTCATTTGTGCTTATCTCCTGCTTCTTCATTGACTCCAATTAATTTTATGTTATTTTACTTTCTTTTTCTTTTTTCTTTTTATTTTTACGAGGAATCCAACTCAGGACCTTGTGCTGCCAGACAGACACTGCTGCTGATCTACATCCCTGGCCCTATGTTATTTTTCTTTCCATCATTTAGTAGCTGTTGGATTGATTTTTTTCTGTGGTCCTTGCTATTTTGTTTTGGGTACCGGGGAATCAAACTCATGACCTCATGCTTGTCAGACAGGTGCTTATGCACTAAGCTAAATCTCCAGCCTCCTCCCTTACTGTTTATAAGAAATGTTTTCTACAGGGGCTGGGGATTTAGCTTAGCGGCATAAGTGCCTGCCTTATAAGCAGGCAGTCGTGAGTTCGATCCCTGGTACCGATAAAAAGGAAAAAGACAAAAAAAAAAAAAAAAAAAAAGGAAAGAAAAGAAATCTTTTCTACAATCCTGTCTTCTAGATGTGATATTCTGTCCTCCCATTGGCTCATTCTGTTAGGCTTTTCTTTTGTCTTTTTTTTGTCTTTTTCATTTTTATCAGTACCAAGGATCGAACTCATGACCGCACACTTGCAAGGAAAGCGCTTATGCCGCTGAGCTAAATCCTCAGCCCCTTTTTTTGTCTTTTTGAGACAGGGTCTTGCTATATGCTTTAGGCTGGTTTTGGACTCACTTTGTAGCCCAGGCTGGTTTTGAGTTTACAATGATCTGCTTGCCTCAGTCCCCCAAGTGCTGGGATCACAGGAGTATACCACCACACCTGGCTCTTTTTTTGAGGGGGAGGTACCGGAGATCCAACTCATGACCTCACATTTATCAGGTAGGCATTTGTCTATTGGTTCATTCTGCAGCATATACTTTGAATGGAAATTTTTATCTCCTGAATGTTTGTTTGAATCTGTTTCATGGATTTTGTTTCCTATGTTGGACATTCATGGTTACCATCATTTTCCTTTCTTTCTTTCTTTTTTTTTTAATCTGCTAGAGAATCCCTAAATGCATCTTTCATTATGTCACCATCTCTGTAGTTATTTGAGAAATTATTTTTGATTTGATTTTGTTCTAGAGCCTCATTCATCTGTTTTGTTACTTCTGTGGTTACCACTTCAGACAGTCCAGGTGGGTGGGTTTTGAACTGTTCCACCTCGTTTCCCCTTAATTTTGCCTTTGGGGAACTGGAAGTCTGGGGTTACATTTTGCCTAAGTATCTTCTCGTTTTCTATATTTATTTTAGTTTAATTCCTGGGTTGATCTTTGTAAATTAATTATGGCATGTAGCTTTATTGCTACTATTTCTTTCTATTATTTTGGCCTTTTAAAAAAAATTTTAAAGGGACAAAACAATAGAACAAAACAAAACAATGAGAATGATATTGGCAAAAACAAGACAATAGGAAATCCACAGTAGTTACTATATTGCATATTATTATCCTCTAAATAGATGCTGAGACTACAGGCTCTAGGTCTCCAAAATCAGTCAGACGATACAAACACTAAGTTCTTTCTTTATGTCAGTTGCTATCATTTTAGCTTGCATTCTTCTGAATCAGCAGGTTGCTTACTGGGAGGTGGCCAGTGGGATGAAATAGCTTCTTTCCCTGTGCACATGCAGGCTGGCCCTGGCTGCTGGAGGGTGCTGCTGCTCCTGGGTCCCTGCCTCCTAGCTGGCCCAGTTGCTGCTGGCACATGGAAGGTTGCTGTTGTTTCCCTGTGCTCTCCTGACTTGCCCCTATTGCTACTATTTTGAAACCTTAGGAGACAACTGGTTCTGACATGTCTTCCATGAAGAACTTCCATGAAGTTCTTTGGGGTTCAATTCAGTTCTGTTGCAGGATCATACCTTTTCAGTTTATTAGGGATGAGAAGTTGCTGCTTATTGGCCTGTGTAGCTGGGTCCTGGTTCTTTGGCATTGGTCTGTATTTTCTATGACCCTGAGGTAATCTCAGTTTTGGCACACCAGGAAGAACAACTGATGAGAATAGTTATGTCACCTCAGCTAACGGAGTACAATCAGCAATCACAGCATCAAACACAGCCTAGAAAATGACAGACTGTGATAACTATTCATTTGCCACCTTTAACCATCTGAACTAGATTAGTGGTTATATACCAAAATCTAAATCAAACCAGAAAATTGTGTGCAGTAAATGCCAGTAAACATGCCCTCACTGTGACAGTTTTACCTCAAGGGAGAAAATTTAAAGGCATGAGGAGAATAAATAGAAGAGTAAGAGATTAGAGGCAAGTCTGAGGACAAAGGAAGATGATGCCATCTCTGGTAAACTGGTAAACACTTCAGGAGAGAGAGAGAAGGAAGGAATAAAGACAAGAGCAGAACGAGACAACAAGGCCCTGGAACAGTGCTCACATTCATTCATTTATTTATTTTTGTGGTACGGGGAATCAGATTCAAGGCTTTGTGCGTGCCAGGCAAGCACTCTACCACTGAACTACATGTCCAGTCCTTCACACTCTTATCAAAACAAGAACAATCAAGAAACAAACCAAAAGAAGAAAAGAGAACAGTGTCCGATTCAAGGTATGTCTTTGCTGTCACTAGTTGACAGTAACAAACAGAGCCCAGATCCAAGTTGATTAATCCCAGCAAGCCAGCCATAGATTTATGGCAAGGAACAATTTATGGTAGTGGATAATCCCAGCAAGCCTATACCTTTGGTTCTGCTGAAGTGTAGTCTGGTTTCTTGCTGTGAGGTTGAAACCAGATCTGTTCAAACTTAACACTGTGTGTGTCCTACCAGCTTGAACGTGTTTTCCTGCTAGCTTGAACTCGACTACTTGAACTCTTGCTGACGTGAATTTGGTTCTACCTTCCCTGATGCTGGGAGCCATTTTCTCTCTCTCTCTCTCTCTCTCTCTCTCTCCCTCTCCCTCTCCCTCTCCCTCTCTCTCTCTCTGTCTCTGTCTTTTTCTTTTTTATTGGTACCGGGAATGGAACTCACGACCACCTGCTTGCAAGGCAGGTGCTTATGCCGCTGAGCTAAATCCCCAGTCCCTGGAGCCATTTTTCACTCCTCTTGAGTTTTGAGCTCAGTTAGCCCTTCTCCAAGATGCCTACTGACCAATTATCCTCTCCCGGTTGGGGGATGTCTGAACTAGAATAACTCAGAAAAGAATACAGAACCCACTGCAGTTACTGCTCTGTTTCTCCATGGAGGCCTCTCGAATTGCTGGGAGTCAGGAGTGGTCACTGTGTATCTGCAGGTTTGAGCCGCCTCTCTCATGCAGTGAGCCTGGGGTCAGGTAGAAAGTGGTGGTTGCTGTCTCCTTCTGCATTGAAGTCTTTCTGCTTTCCCCTGTGGGCTTCAATTCTTGCTTCAGATCCTTCCTGTGTCTCAGAGCCCCACTTCCCTTGTTCTCTTCTTCATAGTCTGTATTCATGTCTGGAAACCAAATCTTGGAGAGGCTGTTTCTCTGCTCTTCATTACTCTGCCATCATCCCAGCAGTGCCCCCTTTTTAAATTTTGAACATAGTCTCACTAAATAGATGTTTCTCAGACTAAGCTCAAATTTGTGATCCTAACTGGGTGTGGTGCCACATGTCTATAATCCCAGCACTTTTTGGAGACTGAAGCAGGGGATGACCAGCCTATGCCACATAGTGAGTTCAAGGCCAGTCTGAACTACATAGTGAAACCCTGTCTCAAAAAATCAAAGTAATAAAATAACCCAAAAAATAAATTTGCAGTCTTCAGCCCCCCAAGAGTTACTGGGATTACAAGCATGTGCCACCATGCCTGGCTGTGTTCATATATCCTGTGGTGGAGTTGAAAGGATTTTGCCCTAGAATTAAGTTATCCGATATTTACCTTGAGGTCACTTCCTTCTTCCCCTATGAAGAAGGGAAGATGGGATTTTCCTTTACCAGTGGCATGAAGAAAGTCCCAGTCAGCTGCTCGTGTGTCACCAATACCCGCCCTAAGCACAACCCCCATCAGAGGTTTTTATATATATATATATCTTACCCCATGTCCCAATCAGAAGAGGCCCAGCCGTCCTTGGTTATTGGACTCTTCTCCATGTCCTTGGAATAAAGGATACTGTTAGTTTATATTTTTTCCTCTTTTCTCATGCCGAAACCCTATCAGGACTGAGGAATGGAGCTGGTAGAAATGTGCTTGACCATATCTTCTCTTTGTAAGATTCAGAGTCCTGGCTCCAAAGGATGCAACTCTCATTCAAACAGAAAGGGTGTTCACTGCCTCATGTCCTTACTTGGAGACTGGAGCACAATTCTGGGGCAACAGGATAAGCTGTATTTAACATCCTTAACACTGGGTTCTTACGACCACTTCCTGGGCCTCTGTGCAAATGGACTGGATAGATGGTATAAAGTCCTGATAAAAGGGCATATTTGTTTGTTTGTTTTTTGTTGTTTTGTTTCTGAGACGGGGTCTCTACATAGTTCAGGCCTGCCTTGAGTTCATTATGTAACCCAGGCTGGCCTCAAATTTGCAGTGATCTTCCTGCCTCAACCTTCTGAGTGCGGGGATTACACATATGTACCACCAAGCCCAGCTCTCTTCTTCTTTTGTGAGACAGGGTTGTGTAGTTCAAGCTGCTTTAAACTCACTATGTAGTCTAAACTGGCCTTGAATTTTGGCCAATCCTTCTGTCTCAGTCCTTCTAGGACTGGGATTATAGATGTGTACTACTACACCCAGGTGAATGGGCATTTTTAAAAAATGAAAGATCCTGTTGTGGTAACAAAATTGTCTAAAAATAAATGAAAAGCATGAGTTGATTCCCTGCACTAAACAGGCTATTATGTACTGCACATATTTCCAAAGTACTTCCTGGAGATTGAAAGGGAGGGAACTGTCGATTAGGACCTGAAACTTTGTCAAGTACCTGTAAGATAAGGTAGAAAGGAATGATCTTGTCTGGTTGAGCTGTGTCTTTTTTTTTTTTTTTTTTTTTTTTTGTCTTTGAGACAGGGTCTCTATGCAGGTCAGGCTGACCTTGAGCTCACTTTGTAGCCCAGGCTGGTCTCAAACTCCCAACGATCCTCCCACCTCAGCCTCCCGAGTGCTGGGGTTACAGGTGTGAGCCACCACGCCTGGCTTGCGCTGTGTCTTATATATATAGTCTATATAAGGAGACTTCTAAAACATACTACAGGCTACTGTCCTTACGTTTGCCTTGCAGCCACCTGCAAACCTCTGTTCCTATGCATGAAGATGTCTCTAGTGGACTTGGGGAAGAGGCTGCTAGAAGCAGCAAGGAAAGGCCAAGATGACGAAGTGAGGACCCTGATGGCAAACGGTGCCCCATTCACCACAGACTGGGTAAGTTCCCAGAAAGCACAAAGCCTCAGTTCTTTGTCAAGTGCACAGTCTTTTACTTTCATGTTTTCTCTCTCTCTCTCTCTTTTTTTTTTTCCTGTTTTTTTCCCCAGTACTAGACATTGCTCATGCTAGGATAGTGTTATGGTTAATATATTGTATCAACTTGAGCAGTTTAGAAGTTTAACTTTATAAATATCCTTATCCTGTGCAAAGGAGGGCAAGGAGAATTTTTGAGTGCTACACCTGTCCTGGTGGGGGTAGGTGGGCTAGGGGGAGCTGCAATACACTGCAGGGGAGGAGAAGAGGCTTGTTTTCCTCCTTTTTGCTCTGGCTGCTGCCTTGAAGTATTGCCCCGGTGCCATGCCACTTCTGCCTTGGAGCCAGCAGATTATAGACTGAAACCTCTACAAACAGTGAGCTAAATAAACCTTTCCTTCCTTCATTTTGGGTGTCAGGTGTTTTGTCCCAGCAATGAGAGAAAAGTAACCAAGACAGCTAGTGCTACATCTCTAAACTAATCCCTAGCCCTTTTTATTTTTTGAGATAAGGTCTTGCTAAATTCTTCAGTGTGGATTTGAACTTGTGATCCTCATACACTAGTCTCCCAAGTAGCTGGGATTACGAATGTGTGTCACTGCACTTGGCTCCAGTCTTTTTCTTTTTCCTTTATTTCAGTGGAATAGGGCACTGGGGATTGAAACCAGGGCCTACCACCGAGCTATATCTGCAGCCCATTTTTTATTTTATTTTGAGATAAGATTTGGCTAACTAGCTAAATTGCCTAGGCTGGACTTCAATTTGTGGTCCTCCTGCTTTAGCTCCTCAGAATGCTGGTATTACAGATAATGTGCCACCACACCCAACTCCCAACCTTTTGTTTTGTTTTGTTGTTTTTGGAGACAGAATCTCGATATGTAGTTCAGACTGGCCTGGAGTTCACTATGTAGCCCAGGCTTGCCTGGAACTCAAAGTGATCTTCCTGCCTCAGCCACTTTGAGTGGTAGGGTTACAGGTGTGTGCCACTGCGCCTAGTTGTCCAACCTTTTAAATGGTAGAAAGGCATTATTGATTTTTTTTTTTTTTTTTTGGTATTGATTTTTCTGTTTCATTCTCTATAAGAGTTTGTCTCGGGGCTGGGATTTAGCTCAGCGGCATAAGCGCCTGCCTTGTAAGCAGGCAGTCATGAGTTTAATCCCCGGTACCGATAAAAAGGAAAAAGACAAAAAAAAAGTTTGTCTCACCTGAATATGTAGTTTTCTAAATTGAGAATCACCTGTGGATATATAGGTGATGATTTGAAAGTATGTATTTTTATTTTCTGTTATGTTTTTTAGAATATTTCCTAAAGGATTCTCTCTGGAGTGTGCTTAGGTTTTAGTCTTTGTACTTATCTAGAAGTTAAACAGAATCAGCATAATAAATGCATTTCTAAGGTAATAAACTCATTTTTCTTTTTCTGTAATATGTTCTGGCTCATATAGAAAAGTCTTTTTGTTTCATTTACTACTCTAGGAAAATATGAAAGAGGAAGGTATATAAATTACACAGCCAACAATCCCTATATCAAAAAAAAAAACAGCCAAATTGGGAGACCAGAGTTTCAGAACATCCACATCCAAGTTGTAATGTGGCCTTGTTTAGCATTTGCAGATTTTGTGAGCACTGACTAATTTTAACAATTTCAGTGAACAAGTGACTTTTGTTGAATTAATTCATACATTCAGAGACCAATGGGTTCTAACACTTCACAAAAAAGCACAGAAACCCTATGAAATTAGCATTTCTGTAAGTAAACCTAAAAAGAGCTGTGTGAATTAAATCCAGTCAGGTGCAGAGGCTAATATATGGAAAGCAAAGAATAAACTAAACAGGCTTAAAATAACAAGCATAGTAACAAAGAAAAATTAGATCTCTGCCCAGAGCAAATGCCAGCAGTTAAGTCCTGGAAAATTTTCATCACAGTGATGCAGACTTGCTTATTACTGTCGCGGATCATAGCTAAATTCTTGGTGCCTTTTCTTGTCATTGGTATTTTTCCTCTCCTTTACTGTGACAGTAGTAAACAGTAGAATATCTGTTCTAATCAGTCAAATTTGTACTTTAAATTTTTTTTTAAGCCAGGCATGGTGGCTCACACCTGTAATCCCAGCACTCGGGAGGCTGAGGCAGGAGGATTGTTGCAAGTTCAAGACCAGCCTGGGTTACAAAGGGAGCTCAAGGCCAGCCTGAACTGCATAACGAGACCCTGTCTTAAAAAGACAAAATATAATAATATTTTTTTTTTCTTTTTTAAGACAAAGTCTCATTGTGCAGTTCAGGCTGGACTTGAGTTCCCTTTGTAGCCCAGGCTGGTTTCAAACTCGCAATGATCCTCCTGCCTCAGCCTCCCGAGTGCTGGGATTACAGGTATGCGCCACCATGCCTGGTTTTGTACTTTTAATTCTACATGTAACTTTCTGGTCTCTGACCTTTTTTTTTTTCTTTTTTCTTTCCTGAGACAAGGCCTTACTTTTAGCCCAGGATGGCCTGAAATTAACAGCAATCAGAAATGTAACTCCCAATTTGTCAGATGCCAAATGTGCTAAGTTCCTGTCCCTAGAATATTGAAGAATAAATTCCAAAGGACAGTGGAGGTTAAAAGTAAGAAAGGTTTATTGAAAGGTAGCTCCTGGGGCTGGGGATTTAGCTCAGTGGCATAAGCGCCTGCCTTGTAAGCAGGCAGTCGTGAGTTTGATCCCTGGTACCGATAAAAACGAAAAAGACAAAAAAGAAAATGAAAAAACAAAAGAAAGGTAGCTCCTGACAGATGAGAGAGGTCCTAAAAGTGGGAGCCCCTTTGTCAGGGGTAATTTGCTCACCAAAGTCACAATGTTAGTACAAACAAGGTGGATCAAACTATAGTCAGTCTATAGGATTATAAATATGGCCACTACTGATCCAGTAGAGAAGTGAGTCATATACAGGGGTACATGGGAAGAATAAAGTCATTTTTGGGAAGGGATGGGTCTGGATATTTTGGTCACTCAGCTGGGCAATGAATGTCAAGCTGGACTTCCCGGGCCAGGTGGTGCCAATCACAGAATAATTCCAAGTTACTGTTTATCCTTTAGGGAGGCCTGTAAGCATCTTTATCTTAAGGCCTGGCCTTAAAATGCACCTCCAGCCACAATTTTGATGTCTTTATTTTTTTTTTTAATTAATTATTTATTTATTTTGGTGCCAGGGATGGAACTCACGACATGTTTGCGAAGCAGGCACTTATGCCACTGAGCTAAACCCCCAGCCCTGGTGTCTTTCTTTTTCTTTTCTTTTTTTTTTGTCTTTTTCATTTTTATCGGTACCGGGGATCGAACTCACGACCGCCTGCTTGCAAGGCAGGTGTTTATGCCGCTGAGCTAAATCCCCAGCCCCCTCTTTTTCTTTTCTTTCTTTTTTTTTTTTTTTGGCGGTACCAGGGATCGAACTCACGACCTCACACTTGCCAGGCAGGCACTTATGTTGCTGAGCTAAATCCCCAGCCCTTTGTTTTTATTTATTTATTTTTGGTGTCTTTATTTTTCATTGACTTCTTGAGAGCCCAATCTCTCTCTGACTGTATATTAAATTGTATTTAATTTAGCCGTTTATAGCCATGTGTGGTAGTGCATGCCTGTAAATCCAGCACTCAGGATACTGAGGCAGGAGGATTGCTGGGATTTTGAGGCCAGCCTGGGCTACAAAGTGTGCTCAAGGCCACCTTGAACTGCTTAGCAACACCCTGTCTGAAAAGCAAAACAAAACAGGGCCAGGCATTGCCAGGAATTTAGCTCAGGGGCATAAGCACCTGCCTGACAAGCATGAGGTCATGAGTTCAATCCCTGGTACCCAAAAACAAAACAAAACAATAATTTAGCTGCCTATAATGTTGCCTCAGCTTCCTAAGTGCTGGGATTATAGTTGTGCATACCCAACTTTGCCATTTTCTTAAAAATTATTTAGGCCGGGGGCTGGGGATTTAGCTTAGTGGCATAAGCGCCTGCCTTGCAAGCAGGCAGTCGTGAGTTCGATCCCTGGTACCGATAAAAAGGAAAAAGGCAAAAAAAAAAAAAAAAAAAATTATTTAGGCCCCTATTTACTCCTTTCCCTCACCCCTGACTCAGAATTTCAGAATGCTTTTTTTGGGGAGGGAGCAGGGTCTTGTTGTATATTTATTCTAAGCTGGCTTTGAACTTTATGTAACATAGGCTGGTCTCAAATTTCAAGTGTTCTTCATGCCTCAGCCTCCCAAGTCTTGGGATTAGAGGCATGCACCTCCCTGCCTAGCTCTCAGAATGATATTTTTGATTCAGTTTCTTTGTCTTCTTTAAAACCCTATTTAAAATCATGTCCTGCTGGAGGCTGAGGCAAAAAGATCACTGCAAGTTTGAGGTCAGCCAGGGCTACAAAATGAATGTAAGGCCAGTGTGAACTATATAATAAGACTTTGTCTCAAAAAGACAGACAAATAGGGCTGGGGATTTAGCTTAGAGGTGTATGTGCCTGCCTGGCAAGTGTGAAGTTGGGAGTTTGATCCCTGTTATAAAGACAGACAAATAAACAAAATGCAAATAAAATAAAATCATGTCCTTTAAGGAATCGTACCTGATAAATCTACCTAACTTAAGGCCAGCATATGTCATACTTATTTATTTAATCCATAATGTATTTGTCTAGCAATTAGTGTTTTTGGTTTTTTGGCAGCAACACTAGAGATGAAACCTAGGGCCTTACTCTTAAATGCACCCCCAGCTCCTTGTTGTTTGTGGTACTGGCTTTAAACCCAGGGTTTTTGCATTGAGCTACACTCTCACCCCATTTTTAAATTTTGAGACTTTCTTGCTCAGTTGTCCAACCTGGGGACAAACTTTGATCCTCCTGCCTCAGCCTCTAACAGGCGAGGATTACAGCATACCTGACTCTAGTATACTAATTTTTAAACAGGAAATCATTTTCAGTTACATCTACCAATTAGTCTCTCTCCAAGGACAGAAGCCATAGGAGTCGGTCACTTCTTGTTGACGTTTCTCCAGCATCGCCCAGGGCTTTACACACAGCAGGTGTTCACTGAGGGTTGTCTTCCTGCAGCTTGGAACATCTCCACTGCACCTTGCAGCCCAATATGGTCACTACTCCACTGCAGAAGTACTGCTTCGCGCAGGCGTCAGCAGGGATGCTCGTACTAAAGTGGACAGGACCCCTCTGCACATGGCTGCGGCTGATGGACACGCACACATCGTTGAGCTGCTTGTTAGGGTAAAGCAGGAATGGGGTGGGGCTGTGCGGGGGGGGGGGGATGCTTCCAGCTCCCTGTTGTCTTAGATGGTGTTCTAGGAAACAGTATAGATGTGGAGTGTTGCAGCTGTTTTCAAGAGTCAGCATGGCTGGCCTCAGGGATTTAGCTCAGCAGTGTAAGCACCTGCCTGGCGAGTATGCGGTTGTGAGTTTGATCTCTGGTACCAAGAGAAAAAAAAAAAAGAATCAGCATGGCTATGTGGAGACTGTTTGGTAGTTTTTAAAGTGCTAAACAGATTTTACTTTTTCTTCATTCTTTTTCTGCAGGTGTTCTCTGTTCGTATGCCTGTTTTTAGGCACTCAGCTCTCTGTACATTTTTTTTTTTTTTTGTCTTTTTCGTTTTTATCAGTACCGGGGATCGAACTCAGGACTGCCTGCTTGCAAGGCAGGCGCTTATGCCGCTGAGCTAAATCCCCAGCCCCTAGCTCTCTGTTAATAAATATAACAAAAATCTATTCTTTCCCCTTCCTCTCCTCTCCTATCTGTTAGAATTTCCCAGAGATATCCTTTGAAGACCCACTCTTTGAAAAACGTCTGTCAGCATTCAGGAAATTTCAGAATGTTTTTCGTTTTGATGTTTCTGAAACGTGATCTAAATTTAAACAAGTAGAATTGCAGTGGAAATTCTATATAGTTTGGTGATGGGATCTTGCATCTGTGCTACTGTCGCTGCTGTCTAAAAAATTTTTCTCTGACAGAATGGTGCAGATGTGAATGCCAAGGACATGTTGAAGATGACAGCCTTGCACTGGGCCACAGAGCACCATCATCGGGATGTAGTAGAGTTGCTTATCAAGTATGGAGCTGATGTCCATGCTTTCAGCAAGTTTGATAAGTCAGCTTTTGACATAGCCCTGGAGAAAAACAACGCCGAGATTTTGGTCATTCTCCAGGTATAGTTCTTTTTATAATGGGCAGAGTAACTTCAGTTGAAATTGAGAATTTTTTCTTATGGGAATTGAATTAAAACAGAATTTTCCTCAGCTGGGCCTGGTAGGTCACTTCTGCAATCCCAGTAGTCTGAAAGGCTGAAGCAGGAGGATGATAAAAGTTTGAGTCCAGCCTGAGCAATTTTTTTTTTTTTTTTTTTTTTTTGGTCTTTTTGAGACAAGCTCTCACTGTGTAGCTCAGGCTGGCCTCAAATTTGTGTTGATTTTCCTGCCTCAACCTCCCAAGTGCTGGGATTACAGATGTGCACCATTATATCTGGCATCAAAATTTTAAAAATACTTTAAAAAATACTGTGAACATTGCTCAGAGCACAGCCCCTGAGTTCAATTTCAGTACTACAAAACAAAACAGTTTTCCACTCAGTTTGGTGGCACATGCCTGTAATCCCATCAAATTGTATGCTGAGGCAGGAGGATTGCCATGAAGTTTGAGGCGAGTCTGGGCTACATGGCGAATTCAAAGCCAGCCTGAACTACACAGTGAGACCCTGTCAAAGAAAAAAAGAAAAAAAAAAAAAACATGAATTTTCCCCATCTTAATGAATTAATGCTTCCAATATGTCTCATCCTTCTAACTCAAAGTCATTTTCTCCCTGGTTTCTTTCTTTTTATCTTGGTACCTTGAACCCTTGAGCCATTATCACACTTAGTTAAATTTCTAGTTTTTTAAATTTTAAGACAATGTCCCTATAAGTTTCCTACCCTGGCACTGAACTTGTCTTTTGCCTCAACCTTGTGAATAGCTGAGATTACAACGCTGCTGCCATTTCTCTCTGTCTTTGTTTTTCTTTTTTGGAGACAGGGTCTTACTGTGTAGCCCATGCTGCCCTGGAATTCACATAATCCCTTCTGTCTCACTCAACCTCCTGAGTGCTGGGATTACAGGCATGTGCAACCACAATTAGCTTCCTTCCCCTTATAATTAAATTTGATTTGAGGCAGTATTAGAAGTCATTTTGTATTTGCTGAATGTATATCAACTGATGCAAGACAATATGTAGCTCTAAAGCATACTAGGTAATAAAGAAGCCATCTCAAAATTAAAAATTCACTGTGGTGATTTCATTTCTTTGTTTAACTCAAGGTCTCACTGTGTAAGCACAGCCTGGCTTTGAACTCACTGTGTAGCCCAGGCTGGCCTTAAACTCATGGTGACCCTCCTGCCTCAGCCTTCCAAGTGCTGGTATTACAGGTGTGCGCCATGATATCCAGGCTTCTTTTTAAAATTTTTATTAGTATGAATTGTAGTGCATGATAAGTTTGTATGATAAATTGCATGATAAGTGCATTGTATGATAATTGTATGATAAGTGCATGATAAATTGTAGTGCATGCATCATGGGGAATTGTATATGTACAGAACACATTTTAATTCCCCTTGCTTTCTCTTTTCCCTCTTTGCTCCCCCATGATTTATTCTTTTTTATTTTTATTTATTTATTTATTTTGCATTTTTGAGACAGGGTCTCACTATGTAGTTTAAGCTGTCCTTAAGCTCACTTTGAGGCCCAGGCTGGCCTGAAATTTGCAACAATTTTCCTGCCTCCTGAGTGTTGGAGTTACAAGCATGTGCCACCACGCCCAGCGCTGTTACTTTTAGTGTTAGGGAATGAACTCATTACCTTTGTACAGAGTTACATTCCTAGACTCTTTAAAATTTTTTATTTTGAGACAAGGTCTCACTACATTGCCCAGGCTGGGCTAAAACTTGGCAACTTTTCTATCTTAGTCTCTCAGAGTGCTGTGGTTACAAATACGTGCCACTGTGCCTGGTTTAACTGTTTTCAAAGTAGACAGAAAAATGAGAAAATTATATGTTAGGCTACAACAAAAAAAGCAAGTCAATGATGAGCTGTGAGAACACGAAATTTTCAGGAAAGATAAGTATTGCTGGCCATAGTGGTACATATCTACAATCCCTGCACTCAGGAAGATTGCTGCAAATTTGAAGGTAACCTGAACTATGTAGAGATCTCGTCTCAGAAAACAAAAAACAAAAACAAACTAGGCATGGTGGTGCACACTGTAATCCCAGCATTTGGGAGGCTGACACAGGACGATCATTGTGAGTTCGAGACCAGGCTGCTACATAGTGAGCTCAAGACCAGCCAGAACTGCACAGTGAGACTGTCTCAAAAAGAAAGACTGAAAAAAAAAACCAAAAAACAAAAAAAAAATCCCAAAAGTTGATATGATTAGATTTGCTTCAAAAAATATGATTGTTCAGCGGCATAAGCACCTGCCTGGCAAGTGCAAGGTTGTAAGTTCAATCCCCGGTACCAAAAAAGATTGTTTGGAGTACAGTGTATGTTGTGAAGAGAAGGCAGTGCTTCTAACCATATGGTAACTTTTATTAGACCAGGCAAGTTCCAATGACAACTTCAGCTAAAGAAGTGACAGTAGAGCCAGGCATGGTGGTGTACACATGTAATCTCAGAACTTGGGAGGCTGAGGCAGAAGGATTGCTGCAAGTTTGAGACTAGCATGGCCTACATAGAGAGTTCAAGGCCAGCCTGGACTGTAGAGCGAGACCCTGTCTTAAAAAAAAAAAAAAGAAAGAAAGAAAGAAAAAGAAGAGGTGATAATGGAAAGTAGAAAAAGTGAGTGAAAGGTTGAAGAAGAAATTTAGTGAGATCCAGAGAACAATGGATAATATTTCAGTTGAAGTTCTTAGTCAGCAGGGTATGTATATGTGAAAATAGCTGTTTCTCCTGCACTTTCGGTTTTTTGTTTTTCTTGACAGATGGTTTCCATAGACAGTTTACGTTTTTCAAGTTTCAGTTCTTGTGCTTTTTTTTTTTTTTTTTTTTTTTTTTTGAGACAGGGTCCTCCTATGTTAGGCCATGCTTGTCTCAAACTCCTAGCACTTTTCCTGACTCAGCCTCTCAAGTGCTGGTATAGGCATTTGCCAGCATGCCTGACCATAACTGGATTTTTTAAAGTAGTAATTATATTTGTAGAAATCTTCTGAAAGTAAAAATAAAATAAAATGAAGCATCTTTTCATCAAAATTGAGCAGATATTCCTGGAAGCAAAAGTATAGCATATTAGGGCTGGGGATTTAGCTCAGCGGCATAAGCACCTGCCTTGCAAGCAGGGTGGTCATGAGTTTGATCCCTGGTACCAATAAAAATGAAAAAGACAGGAGCTGGGGCTTTAGCTCAGTGGCGTAAGCGCCTGCCTTGTAAAGCAGGCAGTTGTGAGTTCGATCCCCAGTATCAGGAAAAAGACAAAAAAAAAAAAAAAAAAAGACAAAAAAAAAAAAGCATAGCAGAAAGTAAACTTTAAAAGCTGGTGCTGGTTTATTTGCTTGTATTCTCCTAGGAATTTCCTAGTGACAGAATGGAACAAGTGGTTACAGCCAGGACAGACCCTCTAGAGAATGTTTTTCTCTATAGGTTCTCTGCAGGGAGTCCCAGCTAGCATATTGACTTGTGGCTAATTGATCTTAGAATATGAATGTCGTAAATTACTTGTTAGACTATTCAGACCACTTCCCTCATTTTTCAAGTCAAAAAAGACAAGATTTAGAAAGATGAATCCAGCTGTCTGGAAAGTTTTTGAAAATAACATACCTTTGTTTTTCTTAACTAGAAACAAATGTGGGAAAGCAACCTAACATCTGTTGCTTTGTGTTGAAAACAAACAAACAATAGAAAAACTCTAGTCTTAATGAGAACTTGGAGCTCCCTGGGACAATGTGTGCAGAAGTCTGCTCTGTAGAGCATTGCTGGGAGCAGAAGGCTGAGGGGTGTCTGGTACTTCCCCGTCTGCACTACTGAGCCTTGTGAATATGCTGTCTTTGACATATCTGACCTCACTTGCAGGAAGCAATGCAGAGTCAGGGCACCGCTAACCCTGAGAGAGCCAACCCTGTGACCAGCCCCGTGACTGTGGCTGCTCCATTCATCTTTGCTTCAGGAGAGGTGGTTAACTTTGCTAGCCTCGTGTCTTCAGCCAACGCCAAAACAACCTCAGGTAATGTTCCAATAATGTAATGATACCAACTTTATGAGGGTATCGTTGAGACTTTGAGATTTTGTATTTCAGTGTGTTTCATACCAGGGCTTCAATAACGGTTAATAAATTAAAATATGGTTTCCCTAAAAAAAGGTTAAGCCTGTCATGTCCACAAGGGGGCAGTAGTTACCTTCATTTTATAGGTTGGCCATAGTTTTAAAATCATTTTGCTTTCAGGGAAGATTAAGAAATTTAGTTTATTTGTGATCTCTGCACTCAGAAGGCTGAAGAAGAAGGATTGCTGCGAGTTCAAGGCCAGCCTGGGCTACATAGTTAGTTCAGGGGCAGCCTGACCTCTACAGTGAGACCTTGTCTCAAGAAAAAAAAAAATTAGTTTAAAATAGGCATAGTGGGGTCAGAGATTTAGCTCAGTGGCACACATGACTGCCTGGCAGGCACAAGGTTGTGAGTTCAATCCCCGGTACCAAAATAACATAAAATAACATAATACAACATAAAACATAACATAACATAATATAAGCATAGTGATGCGTGCCTGTAGTAATGACTTCGAGGCCAGCCTGAATTACATGGCAAGACCCTGTCTCAAAAAACAAACAAAACAAAACAAAAATTTAGTGTAAATATAATGTATCACTGTAGTCAGAACACTCACAGCCTTTTGAATTTGCATTTGGTTCCAGTCACACTGATTAAAACAGTATTTTGTTTTGTTAATGGTACTGGGCCTCATGCATGACTGTGCTACATATACAGCCTTGAACAAGCACTTTTGTAGTGTAAAAGCCTGTAGAATCCAGTAGTTATCTGACATAAACCTCTGAAAAGAGCTAGAGTGGGGCATTAGTCCCAATACTGAAACTCTCCAGATAGATCTGCAGCCATCATCAAAGCTGAACACATGCAGAATATTTTGCTTTGTGTCCTTGGGCCAGCGTTGTATTTCTCAGGGAGAAGTGGGCAGAACTACTCTTTTCACTCTGTGTCATCAGCTACAAATTGAAATTGCTAAACATTACAAATTGTGCTGACCACCTGTATCATAGTCATGAAGCAGCTTGGCCTACAAATGCTAATCAGTGAAGGTTAAAGAAAAGAAAAGGTGGGAGTTTTTTTTGGGGTTTTTTTTTTTGTCTTTTTTGAGACAGGGTCTTGCACTATGCAGTTCAGGCTGGCCTTGAGCTCACTTTGTAGCCCAGGCTGATTTTGAACTCGCAAAGATCCTCCTGCCTCAGCCTAAAGAAAAGTTTTAAGACAAATTCACTTTGTGTATAATTATTCAGTTGGGCTAAAAGATTTTTTTTTTTTTAGGAATGATAGGCCTCTTGTTTCCCAAGATCCACTAGTTATATTTATTTATCTTTCTTGAGTTTTTTTGTCTCTTTTGTTTGTTTGTTTTCAACTGGGAATTGGACCCATAGCCTTCATACTGATATACATTTGCAGCTTTTTTTTTTTTTAGATTTTGAAATAGAGTCTGTAGGGGCTGGGGATTTAGCTCAGCGGCATAAGCGCCTGCCTTGCAAGCAGGCAGTCATGAGTTCAATCCCCGGTACCGATAAAAGGGAAAAAGACAAAAAAGAAAGAAATAGGGTCTGTAGATCTAAATTGCTAAATTGCCTAGGCCAGGCTTGAAATTAGTCTTTCTGCCTCAGCCTCCCAGGGTTCTGGGATTATAGACATGCCTGGCTTTCGTGGATACTTTTAATGCCAAAATCAGTACTGTGTTTGCTTTCTTTCTTTCTGTTTTTTTTTTTTTTTTTTGGTACCAGGGATTGAACTCAGGACTGTGTGTTTGCTTTCAAGTTGCCCATTTGCAACCAAGAATATCAGTGCCACCATCAAACTGCAGGGACTTGAGGCCGGGGATTTAGCTCAGTGGCATGAGTACCTGCTTGGCAAGTGCTAGGGTATGAGTTCCAAAAAAGAAAAAAAAAACTACAGGGACTTGGGAGGGCAGACTTATTTAAACATGAATCAGGGCAAAATAAAACCATTAAAATGGATTTCCTGTTTTAACACGATCATAAAGTGTATTCCAGAGTCAAACATAAATACTTTTGTATTGATTCTAGAGAACACAGGCTTTGAAATCAGATGAATTAGATTCTAATCTGGGCTTTGACACTTACTAGCTATATGACCCTGTGCAGATTACTTAATTTTTCAAATTATAGTTTTTGCTAACTCAGTGAGATTGCTGACTCTACCACAGTACATCCTTTTACATCCTGGCCTAAAGAGTTTGTGCAGGTGGGGCTGGGAATTTAGCTCAGCAGCATAAGCACCTGCCATGCAAATGCGCAGTCATGAGTTCGATCCCCGGTACCATTTAAAAAAAAAAAGAGTTTGTGTAGGTGTGATGGTGCATCTTAGCATTTGAGAGAGAGGCCAAGGCAAGAGGAATGGGAGTTTGACACCAGCCTGGCTACACAGTGAGTTCAAGCCCAGCCTGGACTACTTAGTAGGACCCTGTCTAAAAAGCAATTCACTCTCAACACCCCCACACACACACAAAGAAATCATATGTCATAATTGAAGTAAATAACTACTGGTTTTCTCATTAGTCCACTGTACCACTGTTTGATATCTGTAACTTCAGATATTTAAGTGACCCTGAGCTAGAGGTCAGCCTTATTCTCACCTTTCTAGCTGAGAAACAGAGGTCATGGTGGAGCCAGGGAGGAGCCTGTTCCCTGGTACTCCGTGGTGTGGGATGAGCTGTTACCAGGGCAGCTCTGCTGGGCCAGTTGAGGGAGTGGGTGTGGCTTCAGTCTGTCAGCCACTGACATCGCAGTGCCAAGAGCACCATCAGAAAAGGGAATGTCTTCATCCTTTGCCCATTAACTTAATCCACTCTAGAGGAAAACACACTTAAACCTTAAAGAGTCTTAACACCCTGATAATTGGTTTATATCAGTTTGGATTAGAGAACAAGATTAAGGGCATTAGAGTGAAAAGATGGAAGTTTTATTTAGCAAGTCATTTTTAGTTTACTTCAATTCATCCTCTCCACTGGCCCTGATTTATTTTTTTTTTTACTGAAATAGGTGGCCCCCATGCCTCAACAGTACAGTTCTCAAATTCTACCACCTCAGTGCTGGCCACGCTGGCCAGCCTCGCCGAGGCATCCACTTCCCTCTCCAACTCACACAGAGCCACAGGTAGGTGAGGGAGGTGAGGTCTGCTGGGTAAATTAACATTTCTCCTTTGTTTCCAAAACCTCCAGCAGATTTAATTTGCATGAACTAACATAGAAGTATAGTTAGAGACAGCTAAGAAAAAGGGCCATGGAGTCATCTAATATTGCAAAGAAAATTCATTAAGAAATGTTAACAGGCAGCTGAACAATATGACTGAGAAAACCACTGAGTTATTCATTTGTATTTTTACAGTTTGAAACTTTTTCTGACTGCAGTTGCATTCGAGTGAAATGTTTAGTCCTAGATTATCAGATTTTTTTAGATGCTGTTATGTTTTAACTGATGCAATCCTGGAATGATTCAAAGTAGCAACCTAGGTACCTTGTATTGAAGTATCAAAATACAAGGCCCTGCTCCTTCTGCATTGTCAGAGCCTGGAAATGGGCAGATGTAAGTTAGATAATGCTTTTCTGATACTCAAGATGTTTTCAAGGCTCTCAGCCATAGGTAGTAAAGGAAAAGCATAGAGCTTCACATAGGTAGGGACACTTAAGTCATAGGTCAGGCTCAGTAGGCGTTTAGAAATCTTTTGGGAACCCGCTAGATTTGGCTGTGTCACAAACAAAACCAGATTGCTCAAGTTTCTTTTGTCTGTTGATGTTTGGGTGATAAAAATGTTTCTTCAATTCCAGTCCTTTTTTTCTGACTAGCAGTAATCATAAAGGTATCTACTTAGATATGTGTCTGACATGACACAGAGGGTCATGTTTGATCCCTAGTACAAAACAGAACAAAATGTAATCATATTTAAACTAGTCTTTGCTATTTTTTTTTTTTTTTACATAAGTCTCAGTACATACTACAGGCTGGCCTTGAACTAGCTTGTTTAGCCCACACTGGCCGTGAGTGGTGGTCCCCCTGTCTCAGTTTCCCAAGTGCTGGGATTACAGGCTCTTTTAATGTTTTCTTTTTTTTTCCTTTGAGATAGGGTCTCACTATACATTTCAGGCTGCCTTGAGCTTACTTTGTAGCCCTGGCTGGTCTTGAATTTGCAACAATCTTCCTGCCTCAGCCTCCTGAGTGCTGGGATTTCAGGTGTGTGCCATGTGCCAGGCCTCCTTACTATTCTTTTAGTTTGCTCTTTGATCTGGGACAAATTACCATACCACTTCTCCAGGACTTTAATTTCTTCCTCTCTGGTGTGATAGTTGGATCAGAGTAGCTGCAAGGGCTTTTCAGCTATAACATTTAACTGTTCTTTGATTTTAAGAGATATGAATGCTTATTTCCATGGAACTGTCCCAGTGTATCTCATAGGCATGGTCCATACCCTCATTTATTATTGTAAAGTTCCACCTGTTCTTCTTTAGACAAAAAAATTTCATAATGATAGGAATTGTTTCCTCTAATAGTGGTTGATTAATTGAGATTCCGACTAACCAAACCGAGTATCTTCTTTCACTGTAACACATGGAAAAGCCTTAGAAAGGTGCCTGGAATATAGCAAATAAGCAGTAAATACTGGCTCTGCTAATATGACTGCTGTCAGTTGGAAGGGCCAGCTGCACAGTTACCTGTCACACTTCAGTGCTTTGACTACTTGACATGTTATTTTGTTAATTCACTATTAAATGTCTCCATCTTTTTTTTATAAAACGATCTACTCTGATTTAGTTTATTTCTAAATTTCACAGATTTTTTAGGCATTTGAGATATTCCCTAAAAGAGAGAGAGAGAGAGAGAGAGAGAGAGAGACTCCTTAAAGCTGAATGTATCCCAGCACTTGGGAAGCTGAGACAGGAGGATTGCAATGAGTTCAAGCCAGCCTCAGCTACATCGTGAATTCAAGGGCAGCATGAACTACATTGCAAGGCTTTATCTCAAAAAACAGCGGGAATAATGGCTCTCTCCTGTAATCCCAGCACTCGGGACATTGAGGTAGGAGGATCTTTGCAAATTCAAGATCAGCCTGGGCTACAAAGTGAGCTCAAAGCCAAAGCCAACCTGAACTGCGTAGCATGACCCTGTCTCAAAAAGACCAAAAAAAAAAAAAAAGCACCCCAAAAAATCACACATAAGATACTCCCTAAAAAAGGTTCCAAAATGAGCATGATGATATAATACCATAGTGATATAAAGTCAGCAATCCGGGAGGCTGAGATGGGAAGGTCATAAATTCAGTCCCAGCCAGGATAATTTAATGATTTAGTGAGACCCTGTCTCAGAATAAAATGTGGCTGGGATGTAGCTCAGTTCCAAGGCCCTGGGTTCAATCCCTGGTACCACCAATAAAGGGGCAGCAGGATTCAAGATCAAAAAACTGGGGATACTCAACATGTTCTGTACAGTGAAGGAGATTCCCAGTGTTCATTAGTTTATTGAAGCTTCTGATACTCTCTGCAAAACAAAACAAAATAGGAGCCAGGGGTTTGCTCAGCAGCATAAGTGCCTGCTTGGCAAATGCAATGTCGTGAGTTCAATCCCCAGTACCAAAAAAAAAAAAGGGCCATGGATATAGCTCAGAGGCATAAGCCCCTGCCTGGCAAACGCAGGGTCCAGTACAAAACAAACAAACAGAACAAAATGTAAGCATATTTAAACTAGCCTTTTGAAAATGTACGCGGAAGGGCTGGAGATTTAGCTCAGCGGTATAAGCGCCTACCTTGCAAGCAGGCAGTCATGAGTTCGATCCCCGGTACCGATAAAAAGGAAAAAGACAAAAAAGAAAAGAAAATGTACGTGGAATCCATCTTCATTGAAAGGTATTAACATCTCAGTGAAGACATTTAGAAAACACTGTTGTTAATGCGTTTCGTATTTTCTTTTCTCACTTGACAGCATTATTCAAAAAAAATTTTGTGAACTGTTGAATGTTTTTTATTTTCAATTTTTCTTCTCCTTTAATAGCATCAATTTCAAGGAGGATGGAATTGCTGCACTCTAATATTTTAAAGAGCTGAAATATTAAATTTACTTTCATTATCTCTAGCCAATTCAGAGGAAATCATAGAGGGAAATTCTGTTGACTCATCAATTCAGCAAGTGGTGGGGAATGGAGGCCAGAGAGTCATCACCATAGTGACTGATGCAGTCCCTCTGGGTAACATCCAAACTGCCATCCCTGCCGGAGGCCTTGGCCAGCCGTTTATCGTAACTATGCAAGATGGACAGCAAGGTGAGTTACTTCTGGCAGACAGTTGCTTATTTTAGACAGCCCCCACCCTCTGAAAATGAGGCATTAAAACAAAGAGTGGGACTGGGGAAATCCCAGATACAAGATGGGACAAATAAACTCTGAAAAAGAAAAAGGGGCCGGGTATGGTAGTACATGCCTGTAATCCCAGCACTCAGAAGCTGAGGCAGGGGCTTCACTGTGAGTTTAGACCAGCCTAAACTATGTAGTTCAGACCCTGTCTCAAAAGTCACGTGTAGTTTTTTTATACATGTATATTTTGGAGGATAGCACCCAGGCCTCAGGCATGTTTAGGCAAGCATACTACTAAGCTACAGTGGCTCAGTGTGTATGTAACCTTTTGAGATTGCTGGGGGTTTTTGTTTTTAAGAAAGGGTTTCACTATATAGTGCAGGCCGGCCTTGAACTTGCTATGGAGCCCTGGGATTCTACGCATACACTACCCTGCCCAGCTTTTTTTTTCTTCTTCTTCTGCTTTTTTCGGTCTTTTTGAGACAAGGACTCACTATGCAGTTCAGGCTGGCCTTGGGCTCACTTAGTAGCCCACGCTGGTCTCAAATTTGCAACAGTCCTTCTGCCTCAGCCTGCAGAGTACTGGGATTACAGGCATGTGCCACCATTCTTGGCTCCCTGCCCAGCTTTGAGAGTGGGTTTTTCATTCAGCATAATTCCCTTAAAATTCATCCACACTGTTCTTTGTATCAATAGTTTTTTCCTTTTTTGCTGGGCATGGAAGCACATACTTGTAATCCTGGCATTTGGGAGGCTGACACAAGTGGATCAGTGAGAGTTCAGGGCTAGCTTGTATTCATAATGAGTTCAAGGCTAGCGTAGAGTATGTAAGACTCTGTCTCAACCAAAAAATCCAGGTGCAGTGGCAAGTACCAGTAACCACAACACTTAGGAGGCTGAAGCAGGAAGATTACTGAGAGTTCAAGAGCAATCTGGGCTACAAAGCCAGCCTGAAATGCACAGTGAAACTCTGTTTCAAAAAAGATTTTTAAAAAACCAGTTTATTCCTTTTTATTGGTGAATACTGTTCCATGAATGCATATAACACAGTTTGTTTAATTTACCCATTGATAACATTTGAATACTTTCCAGTTTTCAACTGAGAATAAGGCTGTTACAAACAATCATGTACAGGTTTTTATACTTAGGTATATAATTTCCAGGGTTATGGTAAGTACATGTTTAGTATTATAAGAAACTACTAAACTATAAGCATGGTAATACATGCCCATAATCCCAGTGCTCTGGGAATCTGAGGCAGCACTGCTTTTACCCAGCTTTAGCAATTTACTAAGACCATATCTCAAAATAAAAAATAAAAAAGGATTGAGGATGCAGGTCAGTGTGAAGGCCTTAGGTTCAATCCCCAGAACCACAAAATAATAATAATAATAATAAATAATAGTAACAACAATAATAATAATAAAAACAAACTGCTGAACTGCTTTCTAGGGTGGTCATACCATATTACATTTCTGCTTAGCAATTTGTGAATAACTGAGTTTTTTTCTACATCTTCCCCAGTATGTATATTAGGTGTATAATTTCCAGGCTATTATCATTTTTTTAAAAAATTTTAGGGGCCAGGGATTTAGCTCAGCAGCACAAGCTCCTGCCTGGCAATCCTGAGGTTGTAAGTTCAGTCCCCAGTTCCAAAAAAACTTTAGCCATTCCAGTAGGAATGATGCATGATGAGTGTTGTGTTGTATTGTGTGTTGACTCTCTCGCTTCTATGAGAAGAAAAATAACTCTTTTGGTATTGTTAATGGCTGATCCCCTTTTTTTTTTGGCGGGGAGAGGGTGAGGGGGACTGGGGATCAAACTCAACCTAGCGCTTGCCAGGCAGGTGTTTATGCCACTGAGCTGAATCCCCAGCCTCAGCTAATCCCTTTTATTAGAGGTTTCTTAACAATCTTATATGACGATTTCTGCCTTTCTTTCTCCTCTGTTTGTTACTGATGATTGAACCAAGATCCTGTGCTTAGTGAGCATGTGCTCTGCCTTTAAGCTGTATCACTGGTATAGACCTTTTGACCTTTTTTAGGCAGATTATTCTGACAGAATTAGTAAGTTCAGTATTCCTAGCTACTGGCCTAGAGTGAAAGAGCTTTCCCCAGACCTTGGATTTATCTTCATGATTTTAAGTCTGTAAATGAGTGCCCTTCCTTGTTTAACCCTTCTAAGTGCCCCTTTAATCCTCTGTTTCTCTCTGTAGAGCATTCATTACCTTTGATTGTGAAATCTAAAGAATAAAAAGCAGTATACCAGTATATATTTCACTTGTATTCTAGTTAAAAGCAAGCAAAAAGCCTCTTTGTTTTACTGTGTATTTATTACCTCTAATTAGTGTCTTTTGGCTTGTAGTTCTAACTGTACCTGCTGGTCAGGTTGCAGAGGAGACTGTAATTGAGGAGGAAGAAGAAGAAGCAGAGAAATTACTAGTGACAAAGAAACCAAGGATGGGAGAGATAACAAATAGCGTGGAGGAAAGTAAGGTAATGTTATTTTTAGCGTGGATGGAGGGATGAAAAAGGCAAGCACTCAAAAGCCATAGTCACCAGGGCTTCTTCTTTTTGTTTGTTTGTTTGTTTGCCTGTTTATCTTCTGGGTAATTTGAGATCAGCAACTCTTACCCAGTGATGACGTGGCTTCCTTACAGGAAGGCAGCGAACGAGAGTTACTACAACAGCAACTCCAGGAGGCCAATCGGAGAGCCCAGGAGTACTGGCACCAGCTCCGCCAGAAAGAGCAGGAAGCAGAGCAGTACCGCCGCCGGCTGGAGGCCATGGCCCAGCAGCAGTCCAACGGAGTTGACTTCACCGTGGTTGAAGAGATAGCCGAAGTAGATGCTGTAGTCATCACAGAAAGGGAGGAGGAAGGAAGAGAGACAGAAGTGATTAGTTCGGGAGGTACCACAGAGCCTCATGCAGGAGTTTCTATGGAAACTGTTCCATCTTAATATGCAAGATCCACAGCTTGCACTGTGTTCATCTTACTCCTCTTTTAAGAAGAAAATGCATCCAGGAATGGTGGCACATGTGTGTAATCTCAGCTACTTGAGGCTGAGTCAGGAGGATTGGAAGTTCAAGGCCAGCATGGACAACTTAGTGAGACCCTGTCTCAAAAAATTTTTAAAAGGGCTTGGGTGTAGCTAGTTGTAGACTGCTTGGCTAGCATATGCAAGGCACTAGGTTCAAACCTTATTGCCACAAAAGGAGGAAAAAATAATACAGAATGCAAATGCTATATAAAACCTGAGAGTGTCCTTAACTAAAGAAGCTGGAGGTGAAGGTCAGTGGTAAACACTTGCCTGTCATGTACAAGGTCCAGGAATGACCCTCAGCACTGGAAGGAAAGAAAGCCACCAAACAACAACTATAGCAGGAAACAGTGCGTGGGCCCAGGGAGGCTCTGTATGCAACTGGAAAATTTGAGGTCATATATAAGGAATACTTTCTCTAAGGAACCAAAAAAGGAAAGACCAAATTTCTCAGTTCACATCACTGCTTTAAACATAGAGATACGACTGCTAATATTGTGGGTTAATTATTTTTTAAATAACTTTCTATTAAAAGCTTTTTGAGATAACATTCCTAATACATACACACCAAAAGTCTGTAATAATTATATCATCAAGTGACCTAAAAATTTGCCTTAAATTTATGAAATTAATTTGGAGGGAGCTTAGAAGCAGACTTTGGGGAAAAGAACTACTGTATTCTACTTCTAAATGAGCAGGACTCTTAACTATCCTGAGTTAATTTCCTGAAAAGAAATTTAATGATCCCCTTACAAGTTTGTGTCAATTATGTATCCATAGCTCTGATCCCAGTTGACAAAACAAAAGTAGCTAGGCATGGGTATATGTACCTGTAATCCCAACTACTATAATCCCAACTACTAGGAGGCTGAGGCAGGAGGATTGCAAATTAGTGGCTCCCTGGGCAGTTTAGGGAGACTATTTCAGAATAAAAGGCTGGGGATGTAGCTCAGTGGTGAACACCCCTGAGTTCAATCTCTAGTGCCACCACCACCACCCCCCAAAAAAGATGAGGGCATAGCTCAGTGGGAGAGCAGGTATGGTGAGTGTGGGTACTTAGCATACAGGGTCCTAGGGTCAAGGAAAAAAGAAAAACCTGAAATTGAATTTTTAAAAACTAGATAGAAGCTAGGCATGGTTGCACACACCAGCATTCAGGAGGCTGAAGTAGGAGGATTGCTGAGAGTTCAAGGCCAGCCTGGGCTACAGAGTTTGTTAAAGGCCAGCCTGAATTATATAGCAAGACCCTGTGTTAAAAAAAGAGAGAAAACTAAATAGAAATCTTATTTGTGTCGAAGAAGTATATATAAAACCCAAATCCCCAGGCTGTATTTCCAGAGTGCTGGAAAATGGCTGAAAAGAGGCTTACAAGGTTATGAAACTCTGAGCTTGACATACTGACTTTGCACTGGCTGGATTTTATGGAACTGTAGTTAGGCGGGAGTCTGTTGTCAAAACTACTTGCTTCCAAACATTTTATGAGACCTTGTGGAATTTTTATGTCACTTAGGACATTTGCTTTTCTGTGTAGCGTCTACCCTCTTAAATGCAGGGAAAAAAGAATGACAGTTTTGTTTCTGTTTGATTCAGGAGAAGTAAGTTGCTGCTTTGTAAGCTCAGGTCTCAAATAGAACTTTGTGCCTTACCGTGCTCCGTGCATGTTGGCAGAGGAGCAGCTGCCAGTGCTGTGATGAGAGGACGGAGGGGTCTGCCTCACCGCTGCCTCCATCCCTGCTTCCATTGTGCCTGCTCTCTACCCAGGCTTGGGAAGTGTTTCCGTGTGGGCTTTCTTCATGTCATGAAGTTTTTTCCAAAGAAAAGGGTGTCAGGTGGAGAGCAGTGCAAGAGGTCACCTTGCACATGTCACTGCCCTTAAACTTGGCCTTCATCACCGTGTACCTGCTGGCCGGCCTGTTTTGTTGTAAATTAGAAGGAAAAACCAGAAAGATGTGTCCAGTAAACATCTAAGGGACTGTTTAGAATATAGTTTTCTTAGTTAGCAATTGTGAAGAAAACAAACATTTTTGGGGGAAAAAAATTGATGGTTAACATAGTTCTGTTTACCATGATTAATAATTCGCTGCTGTATTGCAGAGGTACGGAATCTTTTGGGGCTCAAAATAGACTGAAAATGTAATTCCCCAAACCAGATTTGAGAAGAGAATTTGCTGTTAGAATTTTTGAAATTATTCTTGGCCCTGGTTACCTTGGGCTTCCTTCAAGGTCTGGGTACCTAGCACATCAGCTGATCAGAGACTGACCTGGGCTGCAGAGGATGACAGATGAGGGTAAAGGTGAAACTGGTCTCTGCTGCTAGGTCTCCCTGTTTGTTTGTAGTGTTTTCTTTTTTGGCTCCTTTTGGGAACCAGGTGCTAACAATAAGTTGTTGTGCATTGCATTTCAAAACTTAGCTTAACAGTTGAGGGACCAAATATCACTTTAGATGTCTTTTATATTCCTGATGCATGTGCTGACTTTAAAACCCCAACCCAGTTAAAGGAGTGGAGGTTTACTCAGTAGAAGATGTCGAAGCTCAGCCACCTCACACTCTGGAGTAGTTACTGATTGGGGGCGGGGGTGTCCTTTTTTTTCTTTTAAGACAGGATTTTGCTAGGAGTTCAGGCCAGTCTTGAATTGTGACAGTCATCTTGCCTCAGCCTCCAAAATGGAGAATGTCCATCCAATGCTTCCTTCTAAGCATACAGAGTCCCCATTTTGGGGGAACTATTTAGCAGTTCGCATTACTCTTTCTAGAGAAGATTATCTTCCCATCCTATTCCCCAAAATTCTCTTATACAAGCCAAGTCATTCTTCATGATAAAGGCTCTGAGAGATGGTTTTGTCAGAGGAGAAGCTCAGATAGGGAGGGACAGAGGAGAAATGACAGAAAAGGGATGGACAGGAAAAGGATATTCATATTTGGGCCAGGGATTTAGCTCAGTGGCAGAAATGCCTGCCTGGCAAGTGCAAGGTCCTAAATTCAATCCCCGGTCGTCACCCCCCCCCACCGCCAAAAAAAAAAAGGATAAAGGATATTCTTTTTTTATTTACTTGGAGTCATCCTGGTAGCATTCCAGAAAAGAGAAGTAAATTTGATCTTCAATTGTATTGCCACAGTAGATCAGATGCTTTGACACAATTACAAATTAAATACTAAATTAAATACCAGGTGTGGTGATGCTTGCCTGTTATGGGAGCACTCAGGAGGCGGAGGCAGGAGGATCACTGGGAGTTTGAGACCAGCCTAAGCTACAAAGTGAGTTCAAGGCCAGCCTGAACTGCACAGTGAAACTGTGTCTCAAAAAGACCAAAAAAGCCCTTATGGTGGCTCATACCTGTAATTCCAGCACTCTGGGAGGCTGAGGCAGGAGGATCGTTGCGAGTTTGAGACCACCCTGGGCTACAAAGTGAGTTCAAGGCCAGCTTGAACTGCATAGCGACAGCCTGTCTCAAAAAGACCAAAAAAAAAATAATAATAATGTGTTTCTCCAGTACTACCTTATGATTTTATGTATCTTTCTGAATTAGTTGTAAAAGTTGGGAAAACATGGCTTAGATCTGGGTTGGCTGGTTTATTGGTAAGGTTGGATTATTACAAATCATGTAACACAAATGGTGCAGAGTTGGTGTTTGAGCAGGAGAAATTTGGAGCTTAGGATATTTATGTTAAAGCTATATTAGCAATATCTTAGCAATGTCAGTATTACTATTAGGAGTTTTAGAATCTACACTTGCATTGTGGTCTTGTGCCTTTCCCCAAGAAAAAAAGAATTTTATGTTTCCTTTCTTATTCCTAGGTTCAGGGAATCTAGCTATAAAAGTCTGAGTGCCTGCTCCCCTCCTGTTACTACCTCTCTGGGATCTCCTAATTATAGTCAAGAGTTGAGGTTCCATGACTGAAACATGGGGGAACTCAGCTGTAGGGTTTTCTTTTCTTGCCAGGGATTGAACTGATGACCTCACATTTGCCAGGTAGGCGCTTATGCTGCTGAGCTAAATCCCCTGCCAGGTTCTCTCTGTTTTGAACTCAGTGCCTTAAAAGACGTTCTTTCTCTGTCAGATACAGACTTTGTTACTTTTTTCCTTTGCATTCCCCTCTTTTTCAGCCTTACTCCTATACCCTTAAAATGTTTGTGTTTGTCAGTAATATTAAAGTTTATAGCAAATAAAACACATTTTTCTTTATATCACTGTCAAACAATGATTTTACCAGAGGTTTCTGCAGTTGAAATTACATATTGTTACAAGCAGGGTAGTTTTTATATCCCTTTTCTATGTTAGTATATGTTTGTAAATTTTTGAAGTTTTTCTACTTTTCTCTTTATTTGAAGTTTAGCTGTAAAGTACCTGGTATAACCTGGAGAGTTTTTACTTGTTAAACACATAAAAAGGTTTCTACCAGGTGTGTGGCCTATAGTCCCAGCACTTGGGAGACTGAGGCAGGAGGATCCCTGTGAGTTTGAGGCCAGCCTGGGCTACATAATGAGTTCAGAGCCAGCCTGAACTGCATAGTGAAACCCTGTCTCAAGAAACAAATTTTTCTTGGGATTCAGTGAACAGGGTAAGGAAGCAAACCCATTCCTTCACCCCTCTGTGGGATGTGCATCAGCAGGCAGCATGCCCAGGAAGGGCCAGTACCTGGCTCTAAAGGCAGTTTGTTTAGCAGGAATTACGGTGACATCACATGTGCCTCATCAGCCACAGAGACAGCGCAGTCCCTTCATGCCTGCAGAAACAATTGCTCCTACACTTATGAACAGAAAAGAAACTCCAAATACTGGGTCATGGTGGCAGAAAGTTACATCCTGTACATCTACATTCCTGGACTAGAAATCTCACCATTTTGAGGAAGGTATTCCTTTCCAGAAAGCTTGTGCTAACAGTGTTAGGGACTTCCAAAGCTAGAGGATCTGAGGCATTTGGTAAACTCTTCCTAGAAGAGTTCCCCAATGGGAATGAGTTTTTGAAGAATGGCTTTCCATTCTCTGGTCCTTGTGCAGATCTGGACAACTAGGAAAGCAGCTTGCAGACTGAGCCCGTGTGGATACAGCTCTCATCTAGCTGCATTTTACAAGATTCGCTCCTTTCTGAGTTAGCACTCTGTTTCCTGTGCCAGTTAGTTTAGAGACAGGAGCCAGAAGAATGTGAATTAGGGTTAAATAGTTTGGAGCCTTTGCTGCTGCTTTTCCCCACCAGGAGACACAGTGCAGTTTGGCTTGTTTCTAGCGGGAGATTGTGACCCCATCTCACTCGCCCTTCCTCTGGCCCACGTCCACTGCCTGACTCTGCTGTGCCCTTGAATTTCCCCCAGCACTGGAGCTTAATTAGAGGCCCCTTCTAGGCCTGGGCCTTATCTCTCTTCCCTCTACCCCCTCCCTCCTCACACAGATCTTGTTTATTCTGGTGGGTTTGTTTCTGACTGCCAGGTTATACCCTCGCTGTGGCTGTGCTCCCAGTTGGCTCCAAGATCTTCCTGCAGAGATGACGGCAGATGGCTACAGCGCTTTCTGCTCCCCGCCAAGGCCAATGGTTGAGGAGGGACAGATTCTTTCCATGGTGTCCTCTGTTTTTCAGGTTGCCTGACAGCTTTATGTACAGTGTGTAATTAGGAAAATTTAAATGTACTTTTTTTATTGAGGGTACAGTTTGACTTTTATGAACAAGTTTGTGTGTATGAACATTTATATGTACATATACCTATAAAGATCTATATTATATATACAATTTTGTACTATCATTTAAAATAAAGACGTTTCTTAATAAAATATCGAAGTCTTACATTTTGGAGTATCACTTTATTCATTTTTCATCTCTTAGGTAAAAAACAGTATCTACTGTGATCTACCCTCTGCCTTTTCCTTGTCAAGCTGTCCTTTTTAGCCTAATATTCTTTTTTTTTTTTTTTTTTGGTACTGGGGATCACACTCATGACCTTGCTCTTGCCAGGCAGGTGCTTATGCCATTGAGCTAAATCCCTGGCTCTAGTCTGATACTCTTTTTTTTTTTTTTTTTTCTTTTGAGACAGGATCTCTCTGAGCAGTTCAGGCTGGCCTTGAGCCTAGGCTGGTGTCAAACTTGCCAGGATCCTCCTGTCTCAGCCTCCCAAGTCCTAGGATTACAGGTGTGAACCACCACGCCAGGCTTCCAGTCTGGTATTCTTGAAGAAAAAGTTGAAGAATTGAAGTGAGAAGCCAAGCATGATGGCATATTCCTATAATCCTAGCACTCAGGCGGCTGAGGCAGGGAGAGTTCGAGGCCAACCTCGGCTACAGAGTAGAGTTCAAGTCCAGCTTGAACTACATAGTGAGACCCTATGTCAAGAAAAAAAAAGTGAAAACAAGACATTTTTGCTTTATTTTCACAAGATCTTAGTATGTAGTCCAGATTTGCCTCCAACTCATGGCAATCTGGGATTATGGGCATGTGTCACAACACCCAGCCTGCCAAAGCTTCTGACTAGCTTAAATGTACATATTACATTCTTCTTCCTCTCAAACTCATCCTTTTCTCTAAAAGCAAATAACTTCTGGGTGCGGTAGTACACACATGTAATCCCAGCACTTGAGAGAGAGACTGAGGCAGGAGGATCCTCCTGAGTTCAGTGCCAGTTAGGCTCCATAGTGAGTTCAAGGCCAACCGGAGCTACATTGCAAGACCCTGTCTCAGAAAACAAAAGCAAACAATTGGTTAAAAAGTAAAATTAAATGCCACTTTCTCTTAGTTCTCTGAAAAAGTTTTTGTGCTATTACCATTTCTTGTTTGTAAACAAGAAACTTTTGTCTATGTCATGTATCTACTTTGAAGATGATACACAGTATTTAACAATAGCTATATTGTTATTCTATTATTTTGTTATGAAATTTCATTTTTCACTTAATCTTAGCCAAAAGGCTGAGAAGCGATTGAAATTTCACTTTTTTCATAAAATAATTTTTTTTTCTTTTACCTTTTTATCAGTACCGGGGTTCGAACTCACGACCGCCTGCTTGCAAGGCAGGTGCTTATGCCGCTGAGCTAAATCCCCAGCCCCAAAATAATTATTTTTGAAAAGTAAGACTGACACCCAGACCAAAGACATGTAAACATCTGCTCAACAAATCCAATTTCCAAGCTAGCTCTCGGTCAATATTTAGGAAACTGAATACCTACCATTATTACATGCAGAACTGCTTTTTGATAAATACAATGGTCAGCAAATAACCATACACATTCACTACAGGGTACTGCTGGCAGGAACCTCATGGATGTATATAGTCTGTGTTGTGCTGAATAAAAGACAGCAGGCACTTCAGGAGTTTTGAGAAGCAAAAACTAAGAGTCTTGTTGAATTTAAAATTCTGGTGAGAGCTAGGCATCGAGGTGTACACCCTATAATCCAGCACTTTTGGAGGCTAAAACAGGAGGATCACAATTTCAAGGCCAGCCTCAACAATTTTATCAATTTAGTAAGATCATGTCTCAAAATAAAACATAGGTTTGGAGATGTAACACGGTAGATTCAATCCCACCATGCCCTGTCTTTCCCCAAAGAAACTGGTAACTATTGCATTTGAGAGGCCAAGCAAGGCAGGAAGACTGTAATTTATTTTTTCAATTTTTTTTTTTATTTTTTTATTTTGGTACCAGGGATTGAACTCATGACTTTGCACTTGCCAGTCAGGCGCTTATGCTACTGAGCTAAATCCCCAGCCCTTTATTTTTATTTTTGAGACAGGGTCTCACTGTAGTCCAAGTTGGCTGCAAATTCAGTGATCTTCCTGCCTCAGCCTCCTGAGTGCTGGGATTACAGGTGTCCACCACCCACACCTAGTAAGGATTATAAATTTGAGGTTAGGGGCTGGGGATTTAGCTCAGCGGCATAAGCTCCTGCCTTGCAAGCAGACAGTCCTGAGTTCGATCCCTGGTACCGATAAAAAGGAAAAATGCAAAAAAAAATAAAAAAAAATAAAATAAAATAAAATAAAAATAAATAAATTTGAGGTTAGCCTGGACTGCACAGTGAATCCTATTTCAAAAAAAGAAAAAGAAGAGGCTGGAGATTTAGCTCAGAGGCATAAGCACCTGCCTTCAAGCAGGCAGTCATGAGTTGTATCCCTGGTACTGATAAAAAAAAAAAAAGAGAGAGAGAGAAAGAAAACAGCCAGGGGCAGGGTGACTCATGTTTTATAACCCCAGTACTTGGGAGGCTGAAGCAAGAGGGTTGCTGTGAGTCAGAGCCCAGCCTAAGACCTTGTCTCAAAAAACATAACAGGTGGTTTTTCTTTTCTTTCTGAGGCTACACTTACATTGAGTTATAAATTCCTTTCCTCTGTACTTTGTCCTGTAATCAGTATTATACCTTATCCACTTGGCTTTGGACAGTTTAATTAATTAACTTATTTGTATTGGGGATTGAACTCACAACCTTGCACTTACCAGGTAAGTGCTTGAACCACTGAGCTAAGTCCCCAGCCTTATTTTTGTTTTTTTGTGGGTTTTTTTGTTTTGTTTTTTAGATGCCGGGGATCAAACTCCCAACCTCACGTTTGCCAAGCAGACACTTACGATGCTGAACTAAACCAGGCCCTTTTTTTTTTGTTTGTTTGTTCGTTTTTTTGAGACACTCTCACCGTGTAGTTCAGGCTGGTCTTGAGCTCACTTTGTAGTCCAGGCTGGTCTCAAACTTGCAACTCTCTTGCTTCAGCCTCCCAAGTGTCAGGATTACAAGCATGCACCATCACACCCTGCTAGTTTAATTGATTTCAGATTGCATTTAAGGAATAGGCCAAGTGTGCTAGCACATGACTATAATCCTAGCTACTTGGAAGGCTGAGAGAGGAGGATCTCAAGTTTGAGAACACCCTGGGTAACTGAGATACTGGGGCAAGAGGACTAGAGTGACTTTGAGGCCACCCTGGGCTACATAGCAAGACTTTTTTTTTTTTTTTTTTTTTTTTGGTACTGGGGATTGAACTCACAACCTCGTGCTTGCCAGGCAGGCGCTCATGCCACTGAGCCTCTTGCACTGTAAGGAAGGGAAGAAGAGCGGGCACTTGTGCAGTAAAGGCTTGGTCCCCAGGTAGCAGTATTCAGAGGTGTCACTTAGGTGACTGGATCAAGAGGGCACTCACTCCATTGCCGCACTACTGAGCTCACAGCTGAGTGGGGCCAAGGACACACACAGGGCCTGGCTGAAGGGTGTAGGCTGGGGTGTGACCTTGGGGACTATTATCTTGCCCCCAGCCACCTTCTGGCTCTTTCCCTCACTCTCTGCTTCCTGGTCACCACAGAGGTAAGCAGGCAGCTTTCCTCGTGCAGGCCCTGTCACTGCGATATTCCTGCTCCTCACAGGCTTACCGCAGAGGAGCCAGCCGGCCCTCAAAACCTGGGAAACTGAGCAGAAATAAACCTCTCCTCCTCGGGGTCAGTAGTTTCAGGAATTCTGTCACAGTGATGAAAAGCTGACTGTAACAGAAAGTGAGGAAGAGGAACCCCTCTAGGCCGCCATTCCCACAAGCTCCCCAACTTGTGGGGATTTTGTTCCAAAGCTAATTCCAATCTGAGTAGTGCTGCTGGCAGTGCCCGAACAGGAATGACAAAGTTAATCTATGGGGGTGACGGTTTTGACGTCCAAGGCTGCTATCCTCTCTCTCTCCTGCCAGTTGCCTGCCTCCCTCCACACCTCTGCACTGTCCTGGGAGGCTGACCCTGTATAACCTTCATGGTGGGGACGTCAGCACTGCGGCTTCCTCTGCATTCAACCAACAGGGAGCCCTCGAGCAAGCAAGCGTGGGAGGAGAAAGAGCAGAAGCCAGGGCACTGGCCTCGGGGTGCCCTTCTGTGAGCCCCCAGCCTTATCCCTTGCTTCGTGTGCTGCTTCTTTCCGTGCACCACTTCCCTTCATCTTGTTATGTCGGGGGATTTTCTAAACTCACTACTGACTCACCCTGTTGCCCTGCACTTTGAGTTTTTTTGTCCCCCTCCCTTTGGATTTTTTGAGACAGGGTTTTACTATGGAGCCCAGGTTGGCCTTGAACTCATGGTAATCCTCCTGCCTCAGCATCCCAAGTGCTGGAATTACAGGCGTGCACCATCATGCCTGGTAGGTGCCCATATACTTTAAAAGTGTTTCTTCACCAAGGCATGGTAGTGCACACCTGTCATCTAGCACTTCACAGGATGAGACAGCAGGACCACTGTAAGTCAGAGGCCATCGGGACTACACAATGAGCTCAAAACCAGCCTCAACTACATAGGAGAGCCTGCCCTCCTCTCAAAATAAAAATACAGCCCTTCATTCTTTGCAGAAACATTTATTGAAAGCCTCTGTCTGAGAGAGAGACAGAAGGGGTCCCAAGTAGGTTGCCCTAACAATCAACTTTTTTTTTTTTGTACCAGGGATCAAACTCACAAACTTATACTTACCAGGCAAGTGCTTGAGCCACTAAGCTAAATCCCTGGCCCCTTTTTTTTTCTTGTCTTTTTCCTGGTACCAGGGATCCAACTCATGACTGCCTGCTTGCAAGGCAGGCGCTTATGCCGCTGAGCTAAATCCCCAGCTCCAATCTGGTGGTGTTTTATCCATATTGCTGAGCATGGTGGCACCCAATGTAATCCCATTACTCAAGAGGCTGAGGCAGGAGGATCGTTGAGAGTTTTAGACCAACCTGGGCTACAAAGTGAGCTCAAGGCCATCCTGAACTGCATAGCGAGACCCTGTCTCAAAAAAGAAAAAATAAATAAATAAATTACATAAGACCATGTCTCAAAAAAAAACATAAATAAGGGCTGGGCTGAATGTTCTGCACTGAAAAAAAGAATTGATCTATGTACTTTAACCTTACTTATATATATATAATCTTAAATTCAATGAATCAACACAGAGGACCAAGTGCTAAAAAGTAACCAGACTTGTGTGGCTGCCAAGCATTAAGGAGCTACAAATAGGACCAACAGTAACAGCCCAGGCCCTTTGACTTAGCCGCCAAAGAACTCAAGATGCTAAACAGCTTGTGGAGCTTTGTGACTTGGAACCTTCTGTTTCAGTTCCCTGAAGCCTCACAAAAGCTGAGACTCTGGCTGCTAGGGCTGCATTTTCACAACCTCCTAGGCACCTCTGAGAAACCAGCTGGGGAACCCCCAAGGAAGACAGCTTTGTCCTTGGGTTGGCACATTCTGGCTTTTAAAGATTTAACTTTGAGCTGATATTTTGATCTTTTTTTTTTTTGTCTTTTTCCTTTTTATCGGTACCAGGGACCGAACTCAAGACTGCCTGCTTACAAGGCAGGCGCTTATGCCTGCTGAGCTAAATCCCCAGCCCCCGATATTTTGATTTTTAAAACCTGTAAGAAGTAGCATGGTAACTTAGGGAGAAGGATCAAAAGTTCAAGTCCAGCGTGAGTAACTTGGCCAGACCCTGGTTTTTGTTGTTGTTTTGTGGGTTTGTTGTTTGTTTTGGTGTTGTTTTTGCAATGCTGGGGATTGAACCTAAGGCCTTCAGACTGAACTACACCCGCATCCCTTTGAGATATTCTTTTAAAATTTTGAGACAATGTCTGGCTAAGACACTAAATTACCCAAGATGGGCTCAAACTTAGAATCCTGATCTTCCTGCCTCTGCGTCCCAGAGTGCTAGAATTACAGTTATGAGCTACAGACCTTGTTGTAAAATTTTACTTGTTGATTGAGTGTTTTAGGATTTCAGTATGTAGTTTTGGCTGGCTTTGAACTTTAGGCAGTTCTCCTGTCTTAGCCTCTCAAGCACTAACATGACAGATTTCGTGCCACCATACCCAGCAGCTTAAAATTTTTAAAAAGTGGGGGGAATGATACATATGTCAGTTGCAGAGTACTTAGCATGCACGAGGTCCTAATGCAGGAAAAAAAAATCAGATTCCTTAATTGAGGTCATGATCACCTCTCTTTTGTCAGTAATAATTATTTCTTTGAATTCATTCCTTCATTTATTAGTCACTACTGTCAGAAAGAGGCACCTCATGAGTATTAATGAAGTACATTATTGCTAGTGGCCCACATTATTTTGGTTTTGCACGAAAGCCTTACACTTGGAGCCAGGTATGGCCGTACACACCTACAATCCCAGCACTCAGGAGGCTGAGGCAGGAGGATCACTGTGAGTCAGAGGCAGATAGGCCACACAGAGTTCAAGGCCAGTATGAACTACGTAACAAGATCCTGTCTCAAACAAATAAATTTAAAAAACGCTTAAACTTTTATTTATGCCCTATTTTTACATATTCCTGTTGACATACATTCTTTGCATTCCTGAATAAATACAGGACACACAGTTGAGATGAATTAAACACACAAAACCAATGTGAGCAACCACAGACTGTTGCTCACCTTGCAACAGTTGCCTTCATTAGCTCTGACAGCCCAGCTTAGACACTTCCGGGAAAGATCCTAATGAATGAATTTGCTTTATCATTAAACTACAGCCAGGCCTTTAACCTGCAAATTGCTGCTGCCTGCAGAGTCACAAGATTACATTTTCTTTTTTTTTTGTCTTTTTCCTTTTTATCAGTACCAGGGATCGAACTCAGGACTGCCTGCTTGCAAGGCAGACGCTTATGCTGCTGAGCTAAATCCCCAGCCCCAAGATTACATTTTCAATGTGTGTATAGTTGGTCCTCCAAACCCATGGATTCTACATCCTTGGAGTCAATCTACTGCAGACAGAAAATATTCTGAGAGAGCACACCTGCAATTCTGAGAGCCTGAGGCAGGACTGCAGCAAATTCAAGCCCAGCCTGGGAACCTGGTGACTAACAGCCTGTGTCAAATTTTTAAAAAATTAAGAGCAGGGCATGGGGCTCAGTGCAAAAGCCCTGGCTTCAATCCCCAGGAACATAAACAAGTAAATAAACCCAGGCCGTAATCCAGCACTCAGGAGGCTGAGATAGAAGGTTTACCACAAGTTCTGGGCCAGCCTGAGCTACACAATAAGTTCAAGACCCGCTTGAACTACATGGTGAGGCCCTGCCTCAAACAAAAAAATAACATTGAAAGAAATCGTGTCTGTACTGAACCGTTTTCCTTGTCATTATTCCCTAAACAACAGCATAAAGCTTATTTAGCTACCCTTTGTATTGTGCCAGGTATTATAAGGAACACAGAGATGATTTACAGTACACGGGAGGCTGTGCACAGCCTCCATGCTAAGGTTATTCTAGACAGGGGATTGGGTAATGGAGGCACCAGGATCCCCCTTCCCACTGATGCAGAGAGATGCCTGTGTGTTATTTGATCTATAGTTAAGCCTGATGATCATTCATTTACCCCCCTTTGCTTATGTCCACTTTCTGGGCAAGAACTCCATTGTGAGATGTGCTCCTCAGAGGGCTGTGAAAGGGTATGGCCTCCTTATCCTCTTTAAGAAGTCAATGAAGGGGACTGGGGATTTAGCTCAGTGGCATAAGCACCTGCCTTGCATGCAGGTGGTCATCAGTTTGATCCCCAGGACCAATAAAAAGGAAAAAGAAAAAAAAAAAAGAAGTCAATGAAGTTCAGGGACAAAAAAGGCTTGCCATTCCTGTTCTTTACCACCACTATGGGCCAAAGCATTTTGGTGTCGACAAAAAAAAACAAAAACAAAAACAAAAACAAGAGATTAAACTCATGGAGAACGAAATTTGGCCAAAGGAGCTTAAATGCGATGTGAAGAATGTTCAGAGGACATTTTATGGGTTTTGTTGTTGTTGCTTTGCTTTGTTTTGGAGATAGGGTTTCACTGTGTATTTCAGGCTAGCCTTGAGTTCACTGCGCTGCCAGAGGTGGCCTCGAATTTGCAGCAATCTTCCTGCCTCTAACCTGTACCTCACAATCCTAGAACGGCCTCTCCATACTGTGTTTTCAGATCAAGAGGAAACAGGTTTGGGCCAGCGTTGCGAACTCCAGCAGTAAAGGGCGGAAGCAGGAACAACTAATCCCAGGTTTATTCACCCATTTCGCTCAGCACTTTCTGGCTAACATTTTGGAATCACTCGAGAGAGGCACTCGTTGGGGCCCCGGGGCTGCAGGGCTCGGTGCGGCCTCCAAGCGGCGCCCACGGCCGAGGCCTGAGCTGAACTGGGCGGAAACTGGGACGACGCGCCTGCGAAAACTCACTGGCAAATCCGCAAAGGCAGCCGCCGCCCGCGCAAGGCCTTCAGTGGCCTTAACGCCAAGGAGGCAGGCAAAGCGGGTGTGTCGTTGACACCTCCCCTTGGCACCCAGGACAATACACGGGTTCTGTTGCCAGCACCAGCTGGAGAACGAGCGCATCGCGTCCCGCGAACGCTCGCCGACCAGCGCTGGGATCCTCCAGTGCGGCCGAGGGTCTGCGAGGCGAGGCCACGCATGCGCGCGAGGAAGTACGCGCCCTGTCGCCCCCTACCGCTGTCTGAAGAAGGGATTGGCGGGGACTAGCTGGGGACCTGGCTCCCCCAGGGCTGGAGCCTTTGCTGGTTTTTTTTTTTTTTTTTAGCTTTTGCCCTTAAGCAATCCATTCTTCCAGCCAAATTCTCTTTAGGGCAAGGTTTGCTGATACAAAACTCAAATCAAGCTGCAGCTTCGTTTTATTGCTGCAAACATCCCCTCCATAGCCCCGCAGCCTAGGCCGGGCACCAGGCCCTGTAACCTTAACCTCAACCCAGAACTGTGCTCTGAGCGCCTCCCGACCCCACTTAACTCTGCTGTGGCTTGTGGATCCTGCCTTACTCACATGCACCGTTTCTTCGCCTGCCTCCTTCAGGAAACGCTGATTAAACCCGGGGGAACGCAGCCGCCCGGATTCTCCGGGAGAGCTCTCGAGGCCAAGATGCGGGCGCAGCAGCCCGGAGCAGCGCCGAGGCTTCGTCCCGCCCTCCCCCTTCCCCATGTGAGTGAAGTCAGGCGGCAGCTCAGGGACACAGCTGTATTGGGAAGCGGAGGCTCCTACACAGTAGGAGAGGCACGTCCCAGTCCCAGGGGCCCGAGAACTCGGCACAACGCGTATTCCCAGCCCGATCCATGCGTCCGTCCGCCCTCGGTGGCCCGCCCGGGGCCCAGCCGCGGAAGGGGCCGGGGCGGCAAGTTAAGGCAGCTTGGCGGGAGACAAGAGGGGGGAATGGGAGTCTGCAGCGCCCCTAGAAATGTGGGCTCAGTGAGGGAAAGAGCGTCTTGACTCCCACTCCACTCTCGAGGGCGGGGGAGGGGCAGTCAATAAATAACCCGAGGCGAGAATCCCCGGAGACTCGCGGAGTCCAGGAAGGCTGGATGCGTGGGCGGATTGAGGATGGGCATCTGTCCTTGGAGAAGCGTCCGTGCCCACGGCCTCACGGGACATGGGGGTCTAGGACCCCGAAACTCGTGGCGCAGCTTGTCTTAAAAGTTAAAGTGGCTGCTTCTGGGGACGGCCAGTTGGGGGGTGGGCACGACCAGGGTCGGCTTCGGGGACAGCGAAGGCTTCTCCGCGTCCACCCGCTTCGGGGCGCGGCCACGGTAGCCCTCGGGCCGGCCCAGGTAGAGATGCCTGCCCGCGCCCGCTGAGTACCTGGAGAGTCCGCCGGAGGGCACTCGCGTGAGCAGTGCAGGCGGCGTGCGGTGCGGGTGGAACTGCAGCCTGCGGCTCCCCCCAACGCCCAGCCGGGGCGCAGGGGCAGACAGCGCGGGCCGCGCCCCGCAGCCCCCATCTGGGGGCACGTCCAGCCGCAAGGGCGGCGCGCACTCGCGCGGCAGTGGACTGGGCTCGGGCGGGAGCGCGCGCGCCGCAACAGGGGTCGGGGTCGCTGGCTCGGCAGCCTGGCAGGGCGTCTGCGGGCCGTGCAGATAGCGTAGCAGCTCCTCCAGCGTGGTGACCTCCACTGCCTGCCCAGGGCAGCCGGGCGGCGGTGGCCTCACCAACACGCGCGGTGCGGCCCCACCTGCCGCGTGGCCGCCCCGCATGTGGCCCGGGCCTTCCTTAGCGTTGTTGCCGTTCTGGTTCCATTCCCAGGGCGCCGCAGGCGCGCGGAGGTGCTTGACCGGCAGCTCGGGCGTGGACTCTGGTGTGGGCAGACAGGCCAGCTCGGGTGGAGACCCGCCTTCGGGCGGGGGAAGGAAGGTGCTGTAGAGCTGTGGCGTATGTGCGGAGTCGTTGTCCTTGGGTGGCGGTGGGGGCTCTGCACCTGTCCCGTGCAGCCGCGCCAGGCTGCGGAGAGAGAGAGGGCGCGGGAGCCCCGCAGTCTCGATGTCCTTACTCCCTCGGCGGTGCGCGTGGCGACAAGCACAGGACACCAGGAGGCCAGAGATGAAGGCGCCCAGGATGAAGGCTGCGGCCACGCTGGCCAGGAGGAGCGGGACAGGGACGGAGAGCGAGGGTGAGGCCGCCGGGAGGTCCCTGCGCACACCTGGTACCGAGGGAAGCAGGGGTTCAGCCGGACTCTAGGCTTCCTTCCTCAGTATCCACCACCCTTGACGCTCTAAACAGCCCAGGACTACCCACACGCACAGGCCAGAGCATTTGGGCTCTGCAGCCATGCTAAGAGTAGTCGCCAAACCGCCAGTGCAGAAAGACTGGACTCGGGCTGCAGGCCCAGCTGAGGGTGGGGAAGGCTCCAAACAGGCAGTTAGTGAACATCAAACACCAGTCCGTGCTAGGCGTGCTAGGCGCAGAATCTTCCAAGTCAGCAGCCCCATGTCACTTTTACCCCTCCCAGCAGCCCCCTTACCCTGAGTGTGAGCTCCAAGAGTGGAAGACTGGGACCCCAGCGAGGCATCACTGGGGGGGCTGGGGGCCTCAGGGAAAGGGCCAGGACCCAGAAGCACTGGTGACAGAGACCAGGTCAGAGCCCATGAGGCTCCTGCCCTCCACCAAACACCCACCCAGTGTCCCCCGGGGCTTTGGAACCCGAGCTTCTGTTTTCTTCTGGGTATGGAGAAGGGCTCACCATGGGAACATTCTTTCATTTATTGGTGAAAAAACTACTGCACACCCTATAGGGCGCCAGGCCCTGAGCTAGATGTTGGGAATCTGGAGAATGGTGATGCGTGTGTGAGCCTTCAGGGTGCTGGTCCAATGCTGCTATGGGGTACAGACTTGTGATGTGGGCTAATAAGCAAGGGAGGTGAAGCCGGGACAAGATGACTCACCGTAAGCGGAATCCCCAGGACCAGACTGACTCCCAGTGGCTCCGTCTATGAAGCAGGGAGAGACAGGGTGAAAAGGGGGAAAGTGGGAGGCTACCTGAAGAACTGATGGAAACTGACTGCACCGCAGAAGGCAAGGAAGACAAAAGCCCACACGCAGGTGATGTCTGTGGCTATCAGCCACGTGCAGCTCTGGCTATGGCTGCAGCCACCCCTTCTGTTTACCTTGGCAGTCACCATGCTCCACGGATTCCTGGTTTCTAGCCTGATCTACATCAGTCCTGGGAAGAAAAGGAGGTGGCTGGATGCGGTGCTACACCTTGGCCCCATGCCCCACTCTGGCCCTCAGCTTCCTTTCTTAGCTATGTGAAACCTTGTTCTCAGGTAATCCAGGGGCTTACTTACCCACCAGGACCCCTGATATCCACACAGCCTCTGGAGCTATGCCATCCACAGTATGGGTCCTGAGAAGCCAGACAGCTCCTAGGAAAAACTGAGTCATGTCAGAGTGGGACCCACATTCTATTCCAGTCTCTTCTGTCACCCTGGCTTAGAGGGGACTCCCAGCACCATAGTCCCATTCCTTGATCCCCATCTCTGTTCCAGGTGCTGCTTATGACCTCCTTGAGAATGATGCCCTCCCTCCAAGTCCCTGGCAGCCCCAAGATCTATGGGTCTTTTTGTGCTCCTGCTGGCCAGGGAACTCACCCAGGCAGTCCTGGCCTCAGGCCTCTCTTACCTCTGACAGGCCCCGTGGCGAGCACAGCGGCTGAGAGGGAGGGAGATGATACAGCCAGAAAAAGCCACAAAGAGCCTGTGACCCTCGGTATCCAGCTCCAGCCCTATGATGCGTCGTGCTGTTTGGGCTGCATGTTTCCCACTGCACCTAGGGTGAGACTCAAAGGCATCAAAAGAGGCAGGTGAAGCCACTCTGGGACTGCTGACAAGCAGGAGGGGGAGGCGCATAAGCAACAGAGTGCAACTGTGGAGCTGCCCTGCCCCACTGTGCTAGCCTGATTTCCAAGGCCTTTCTCTACTCCTGCCCCAACCCATTCCCACATCCCCATCTGTAACCTGTTTTTCAGGGAACCTGTCCCCTTACCGGGAGGGGCTGTAGGCATCAATCTCTTCCAAGAGGACAGGGTCAGCTCTTCCAGGATGCCCCTCTGGGGGCAGCAACTTCAGCACTACCCCATCCTCAGAGCCAAGGAACAGGACGGTGGTATTACTGTGGGGACCAGCCATGCCATCCACAGCTACCTGTGTCAGAAGAGCCCTAGAACATAGACCTCAGGTCAAGGCACCCTGTCTAGTGGAAGCTTGAGCATTCAAGGGGTGCCTGCGGGTCCTGTGTCTTCCCCAACCCAGCATTTCCTTAGCACTCTGCCTTCTACTTTCATGACTTTCTCTCCCTACTGATGCAGTTACCTTGTGAGGTGAGAGAAAGGACTGCAGCTGAGGGAGGGGTGGCCAGGGTACCTGCTGGTGAGAGTAAGGAGCGGCTGATGGATGGCAGGTGGCACTGCAGGGTCCAGCAGTGGGTGGACCTTGATAAAGGTCAGGACATCATCAGGAAGGTCTTTAGAAGAGGAGAATGAGGCAGCTCCACCCATACCTGCACAGGATCCAGGCCTGGCAGGGACACAGAAGGGGTAACCTTAGGGCAGGGAACCCTGCTCTAGTTAAGCTGTGTCCTTCCCTATTCATAAACATGGTCGGCAGCTCCTGCCCCATCCAACAGATACCTGCGGCCCTGCTTCCCATCCCCAATGCAGCTGCCAGCCTCTCTGCAGGCCTAGGCCCCCTCCATCCTGTGAGCAGGTACCATCTCCTTATGCTCCCACGGAGGTCTCCCCCATCCTGGATACCTGGGTGAGGGGACTCTGTCCTCCGATACAGGGGTCCAGGCCCCATCCAGGCTCCTCTGCTCCTTGAACTTGCCCTCAAACCCATGCTCAATATCATCCAGGTAAAAGGCGCAGACTGCAGAGCCAGGGATGCTGGGGAAGCCAGAAAAGATGCAGGAGAGGTATTGAAAGGGACTGTGCAGCTCCTGCCAGTAAGAAGCGGTAGCTGCCCTTCATGCACCATGTTAGGCCAGGACAGCCACTGGGTGCGATGTTAGGAGGGAGGAAGGTGGGGAGGATAGCAAACAGGCTTTGCTTAACACTTCCCCTTACTGCCTGTACTGGCAGGCTTTCAAAGGGTAGCTGGATGCTGGAGGGCCAGGGGACAGGTGAGATCACAGCACTCAGCTTGGTACCAACCTATTGGTCTGGGTGGTGAAGACCCCAAAGAGAGCAGAGCGGCCGTGCAGGCTCACAGGCCCAGTCAAGGCCTGTAACACGTCAAAATAAAAGGTAGAATCCCCAGGGACAGAGCAGTTGAGCCGAAGCTTCAGGAAGGATGTCCACTGGCCATCCAGGGCACGGTTCGAGCCGCCCATGTCACGTTTACACACACGGGCCACACGGGAGAACTGCACCTGACAGGATGGGGAGGAGGAAGCATGCTGCTGGGTCAGCTAGCCCAGAAGAACATGGCAGCTTCTGAGCACCAGAAACAGAGAGAGGGTCACAGCAAAGGAAGTGCGGCATGGTGGGGATCATGTGAGGTCAAGATGAGGGTCATGGGCACATATGAGCAAGAGCTGGGGGTCATTCAAGGTTGGAGGCCCATAGTCTGGGAATTGTTATGGACACGAGGGTCCAGAGCTTTGGGGCCTGCTTTCTTTCTTACCCTCCCTAGTCGAGCATCCTCCACAGAGACTTCTCGGAAGAAGAAGTAAATGTGTTCTTCGTGCTCCACAGCATGGACAAAGTGTGGTTCTGAGGTGGGAGCAATGGAAAAAGAGTATGGAGAAGTATATGCTCACTCAGATGCTCCTGCCCCACACTGCATCTTCCTGCTGCATCCACACACACACTACCACACATCCTGCCTGCCCCTCAAGTTGGCCCTCTGCCCCTGTTTCCCAAGAACAGCCTCACCCACCAGGCCCACTGACCTCGAAGCCACTTGGAGTCATGCTTCGCAGTGCGGAGCAGGGGCAGAGGCCCAAGGCTTCTGTAGATGACAGGATCGCTGGCCTGGAAGTCTGTGTTTGTGGCTGAGTACAGGCTGCCCTCTGCAGGAGTGGGGTCAAGGAAGTGATCAGGGTCTTCTCCTGCCTCCTGTTGGGCTGCCAGCACCCATACACCCATACAAGGCCTGGCCCTGGCCCCGGCCCCTCCCTCACCCTCTATTCAGGGACAGAGGAAACCAAGCTGGGAGAGAAGCTATGGTAGGCACTCTCCAGCCTCATGCCTGCTTCTTCCATGTTCAGGTACGTACCTGCAAAGATGGCAACATTGGACTGGGTGGCATCAAAGGGGCATCGAGCCCGCCCATCCATCTCCTTATTCTCCTGCTGCAATGAAGTTATCTGGGGGCAGAGGGAGCAGGTTCTTGGAACACTTGGGGTCTTGGATGCTGGCTCTGTGGCCTACTCCCTCATGTGCCCTTGTCCCTCAGCCCTTCTGGAACTTCCATTCTGAGCAATCTCATCCCCAATCCCAATTCCTAGTCCCTTCCCATCAAACTGCTGCCCATCGTGGGCTCTGCTCCCAGCCCCATCCTGCCCTCCACCCTCTCCTTTGTACCCCGTAGCTGCGGCACTTGGGGTTGAATGAGTTCGTTCCACAAGCAAGGAGCGTCTGGGAGTCCCGGGGAACAAGGACACGAATGTAGTTGTAGCATTCCTCCTAGAGAACCCAAAATTCAAGCCAGGGACAGGAGTCACAGGAAGCAAGCTTCTACCTTGAGTAATATGGCATAGAGTCCCTGCTAAGCTGGTGGCTAGCCAGGTGGTCTCAGACCTTTCTGAGCCTTTTTGTGAAATGGGTAACCAAAAAGCATTAATTTTCCTCCCCATTGCTCTCTTGGCCCAGGGTGGAAAGGTGGACAGGAGCCTGGCCAGGGCAGAGGACTACTTGGGCAGAGGCTATGAGCAGGGAATCTCTCCTCCCCTTCAGATGTCTCCTTCCACTCCTCACCGTCTGCTTTCCCCGTACAGCACAGTTCTCCACACCTTGGCTCCTCCATGTCAGATACTGAAGGGAGAAGCAAAAGCAGGAATTCACGAGGCATCCTGGGCCCTGCCTCACAGTATGGCTCTTTTCTGGTTCTTCTTCCCACCCACTTGAGGCCCTCAGCTCTCTTCCAGTCTTATCTCTGGGCCTACACCTTCTCCTAGACAGCCTCACCTTGCTGGGCACCAGCCCTTCCCCTTCTTCTTGAGCCTGAAGATCAAAGAAGAAAATGTGGTCCCTGAAGGGGCAGGGAAGGAAGGGTTAGAGCTGAGCCAAGATACCCAGTCCTCAATCCCACCTCCCTATGGTCACCTGCACAGGGACAGCTCGCATGGCTCTCCTGGCCCCTGGCCTTCCCCTTAGTCCATGTTTTGGTGTTTGGGACCTAAATTCAAGCATGTCCATGTTCCTGCAGGATGCTGCACTGGCCATGCAGTTCCCATGTCTTCCAGGAGCATACATGTTTGCCCCACAACTGTTCCTCGGTCAGTTTACCGGGCAGCCACTAGCAAGGTCCGGTTCAAGGTCAGGAATCTCTGAAAGTCCAGTCCCAGTTCTGCAGCCACAGCATCTTCCTCCAGTCCCCGGAACCAGGACAATGGGGAAGAACCTAGAGCACAGAAACAAGGCGGTGCTGAGGGCACCAAGATACCATGTGGGACCCTATACCCTCCATCCAGGGGAAACCCAGCCATGGACAGAGTAGAGATGGGAGACAAGAGGGGGCCAGCTATTAATAAAAATAAAATAAAATACTTAATCCCTGCCAAGCACTGTGGTAGCACTTTTGATGCACCATTTCATTTCATATTAACCCTGTGAGGTCAGGCTTTACAGGAGGGAACCTGAGGCAGGAAGCAGCTGCATTAATTTGAAGTGGCAGGCGCCAGGATTTAGGTTCAGATCTGCAGGACTCAAGTGCTGAGCTCAGTCCCTTCCTGGACTACTTTTGGGCTCAGCTTGTACACTGCCCATCTGGAGCCTTTATTGTACTCCACATACACCCTCCACATCCTCGAATCCACCACAGCTCTCCAAGGCTTCTGCCTCTTCCGATCCACCTGACTGCATCCTGGGAATCTCAGTCCCCAGCATTCAAAGACAGCCCAGGGTTTAGGGAAATGCATCAACATTCAGAAAGTGCTTAGAACTGCAACTGGCACAAAGTGTTTGCCGTTCGTATCTCTCCAACAATTTCTCTCAACCCAACTGCAGTCCCTCTACACATCAAATTCCTCTACTTCCTCCATATATAATAGGCACTTGCAAAATAGATAATGTTCTTCCCAGAAAGGCGGGAGTTGTGGTTTCTAGCATGGCAGTACAAACGGTAGAAAGGGAGGTAAGAGGTGTTGGGAACCACCAAACTGGTAACTAAAAATAATAAACAAATAGAAAGCATTTACTTTGTGCCAGACAGTGTTTTCTGCACTTTATAAGTATTAATTCATTTAACCCCTAAATAACTCTATGAGGGAGATGAGGAGACTGAGGCTAAAAAAGATTAAATAACTTTAACTAAGGTCACATGACTGCTAAAACCCAGGTATGGTGGCACAGGCCTGTAAACCCAGCACTCTGAGAGCCTGGAGGAGAAGAGTCACAAGCTCCAGTCTGCCAAAGCAATTTAGACCCAGTCTTTAAAAAATGAGCTCAGTGCAAAGGTCCTGGGTTCAACTCCTAGTACCAAAAGAGATTTCCTGCTAAGATTTTTTTCTTTTTTTTTGAGACAGGGTCTCACTACATAGCTATCAGACTGGTTGCAAACTCACTATGTAGACCAGGCTGGCCTTGAACTGGTGGGGATCCTCCTGCCTCAACCCTGTTAAGATTTGGTCTGAGTTCATGCTTTTAACCACCAAGCAACACAGTGGAAAATCAGGCCCAATCACAAGAAAGAACAGAGACAGGAGGCTGAGACAAACAGATTACCATGAGTTCAGGGCCAATTTGGACTATATGGCCAAGCCCTGCCTTAAAAATACAGAAGGGAGCCCAGGAGCTCCCTGTACCTTACCTGCCACAGAGGGGTGAGACTCACCTTGTAAGTCAGAGGTGAATAGGGGGAGGGGATCTTGGGGGAAGGCAGCCTGGCTATGGGGAAGTGAGAGCAGCAGTAGCAGGAAGGGCATGAAGTAGGAGCCACGGGGCATCCTGTGCTGGGCAGCTCAGGCCCCAGGGGGTACCCCCTCACCCATATGCCGGGCCTGGAAGGGGAGACAGAAAACAGTCGGGGAAGGGACCAAGGGCCAGTAGCTCCTCTCCAGAAGTATCCCCAGAAGACCTGAGGGGTGGGGGGAAAATACCCTCTCGGTGCACTGGCCCAGTCCCAGCGGCTGTCACTGTCACTCAAGGCTGATCCCTCTCCAACTGGCCCAAACCGGCTGGCGTGAAGCTGCCAGCCAGTGTGACCCCAGGTAAGGACAGGACAGACTACCTCCCCAAGCCTTCTCACTCTCCTATCCTCTCCTGCCAGTCTGGGACTTTAGGGAGGTGACACCTCCTGCCCCTCCTGTGCTCACCCCTTCTCAGCTATAATTAGACCGTGAAGCCTTAAAAGTATAAATAGTGACTCCTTGGCACCAGGAAGAGGAAGAGGGGACCAAGTTGGCCTCTCCCTCCCTCACAGACCCCCAAGTGCCCTGGGAGGGAGGTAGGTGCTGCACCCTTTGTGCACCCTGTGTGAGCCAGGTCTCTATGAGAGTGAGAAAGAACACAGCAGGGGGCTGCTGCCCAGTGTCACTGTTCTGGTCTAGGCTCATGCTGCAGGGGCCCCTCCCACTACTAGAGAAGATGCTGGGCAGGGAGGGACCTCGGGGGGCTGTGTTAGCCAAAAATGAATCTGCATCAAAGCCAGATCAGAGGCTAAATTTAGCTCTGGCTGCAGCTGTCTTCACGACCACTGGCCCCCTCCCAGGCTCCCTAGCCCCCTGGTTCCTCCCTGGCTTCTAAGAGCCAGGGCATATACTTGACAGGGGAAGGGCTGACCCACCCGCTAAGAGAGGCCAAGGATAGAAGGACTGGTGAGGTGAAATGGCTGAATGTGCCCCTCTTTCCCTCTCTTCCCTCATTAGGCTGCCTCTGAAATTGAAATATAAATAATTCAGTGACAAGCAATTGTAGCCCAAAGTACAGGAAAAGATGGATATCGTGGAAGGGACAGTGAGACTAGTCTCATCCCAGCCCATTAGCCTTCTCAGCCCACTGACTCCCACAGAGGGAGGTTTGAGCCAGCTTCCTGCCTTCCCCTAAAATTGAAGTGAAGGACAGAGGCGGCTCCAGAAATCAGGTCAGGGAGGGTAAGAATTGTTTACTTCGTGAACACATCACAGTAATCCTCAGTTTAGCATCCCAGCAAGTCCCCTAGAGAACTCCTGTGCTTACAGGTCCAGCTCCCTTCTACGTTCCCAGTAATTCAACTCTTGAAGCAGGGACCCAAGTGTCCCCTCACCCTCAATCCAGCGTCACTGGTGGAGGCTGACGTCAGGTGAGGCCCCCAGAGAGCTGGAGGAAGGGAAGGGGTAAGAACACCTAATGATGACCCCCCTTCCCCAGGGGCAGAGCAGCCAGCCACCTAGACCCTCTGGCGTCCACAGGCCCAGCCTCCTTCCCTCCCTCCCCACTACTGAGGTCCGGTCCTGGATGCCGGCACCCCCATGGGAAGAGAAAGGGACAGAGCTTGTCTCCCATGCTCCCCTGTCTGCCCCCCAACCAGTTGCCTTGGGCAACTGGTATCTTTACCCTGGAAACAAGTCTGGTGTCTAACAAGTGGGGAGAACAGTGGGCCCCTCTTCCTGCTTCCTGACTGTGCCTGCTTCTATCCCTGTTTTTCTTACCTGGCGCGTTGGCTTCTATGGGGACAGGGGAACAGGAGACCTCTGAGGGGGTAAGAGACCTCTGACCTGATGAAGAAGGGACAAAGGAGGAAAGAGACTTTTAGTTACACCTCCCTTACCACATCTCTTAGAAGTAAATGTGAAGCTGGATGTGATGATAACACCCATAGCCCCAGGAAGACTGAGGCAGGAGAATCACAAATTCCAGGCCAGTCTGGGCCACTTTCCTTTTTTCTTTTGGCAACTTATTTTTGTTGTTGCATTTTTTTTTGAGACATGGTTTCATTCCGTAGTCAGGCTGATCTTATATTCACTCTAGCCTCAAACTCATGGTAATCCTGTCTTACCTTGCACATCAAGCATGGCCTAGCCTGGATAACTTAGACTCTTTCTCAAAATATAAAAAAGGGATGTGTGTAGATCAGTGGAGAGCACCTCTGGGCTCAACCCCCCCATAAGACATGGGGTGTTAAGTATGAAAATGTGAAAGAAGTCAAACTTTGGGTTAGACACTGCCTTGGAAAGTGGGGGAGGGGGACATGTAGTGTGGTTACAAAGGTGCAAGGGCAAAGATAGGCGGGCAGAGGTTGAGCCCTAGTCAAAAAATCCCTGAAACTGCAAGGCCAGACTTGGAAGGAGCCACTGGGAGAAGTCTGTGGGACATGAGGACCTCTCCTGTCAAAACCTTCAGAATCCCACAGCCTTCTTACAGCCCTCTTAGCAAGCTTCCTAGCTAGGGACAATAGACTCATTTGCATCTCATTTGCATGTTCTTCATTTCCAGGCAAAATGCTTTGATAACAAGCAACCTAGCCCCTTCTCCCCCACCTCTCTTCACCCTGGCTCCGCATGCACACGCAAGTGGAATTGGTCCAGCACCTAAAAGCATTATGTTGGCCTCTGCCTTGGCCCCCTAGTCTCATTGAAATACATCTTTGAGATGTTCTCTTGGGGAATGTTTTGGGGAATAGCATCTGGTTGACTTCCACCCATCCCTGACGGGTGGAGGGGCTCACAGTGACCTGCAGGAATCCCTGGGAGACCTGACCAACTCCTCATTTCTGGGAAGAGGAAACAGCCCTTCTCTGTCCTCTTCACCAGGCAGCTACCTCTGGGGAGTGGCCGAGGTCACAGCCAGAACCTAGCAGAGCTAGGAAAAGGGGAGACTGGACTGGGGACAATAGCAGGAAGCCATCGGGCTCCTTGCCTGCCCGGTCCCCTTCCTCAAGGGGCGCGAGGGTTGTGCAAGGAGTCGTGTCTAGCCTGTCTTCATCTTTCCCCCTCCTTCGTCTTCAGCCAGGCTCGGTACCTTCCCTGCACCCACTCGGCCCCGCAGAGAGAACTCAGGTGTCTAGGGCTTCGCGGGAGGTGGGCCGACCAGGGCTGGATCCAGGCCTCCAGGGGGACGGGCAGCTGAGTCCTGGCCGGGACCGGGTCCCAGAGCCACGTTAGCGGGAGGAGGGGCTGGAGGGGTCCGCAGGCTCAGCAGGAGCCGGCCAGGAGGCGGGGCGGTCTCCGGGCTGGAAAACCGGGCCAGGGCAGAGAACCAGGAGGGCGGGCCCGGGCCAGGCGGAGCAGGGTTCGCGAGCGGGGACGCGGCTGTCTTTGCGGCTCTGCTCCTCGGAGATTCGACTAACAAAGCCCGGAGCCGAGCAGGGTGAGAGGAGGTGGGCACTGGGGCCGAGGTTTCTCGCGGGGAGGGGACTCCCCGACTCTGCTCTAGCCAAACCCCAGAGGTGCTCAGGCTCCTGCAAGCTCAAGGACGACGGTGCGGCCCTGAACCAAGTGCGAACGACGCGTCCCCTTACGTCCCGCAGGGGCACCGTGATGGTCCGCCCCCCCTCCCGGGTCTCAAAGCCTTAGTTTCCCTGGGGTAAGGCCAGGGACCAGGTTTTCCACCTCCTGCACGGTGCCCGCCGCACCCCAAAATGTTCCCCTTCCATGCTTCTCAATCCAACCAAATGCGACCCGAGGGACCAGTCGCGGAGGCGTCAAGACCCTGCGCCCACCAGGGCGGCGACGGAGCTTGGCCACGGTCCCCGCCTCCCGCGCGCCCCAACTCGCGGAGCCCTTCCCGCCGCACCCCCGGTTCCCCGCGCCCTCCCGACTCCTGTCCCGCCCCAAGGTACGGTACTTGCTAGGCGAGCCGGGTCGGTGGGATACAGAGTGTGGCGGGGGGCCGGGCCGGGGCCCCACGTTGCGCAGAGTTCGCAATCCGGGGTTGGGGCTCGGGCGAGACGCGATGCGCGTCCCAACTGGAGAGTCCTTGGACCTGGGCACCGGGGCGCTGTCTCTCCAGAGCTTTGGGTCCAGGTCACAGCCCCGACTCCCGCCGAGGATCCACGGAGGAAAACAATGCGACCGCCCGGAGCTCTGGGCTCGGCCTCAGCTGCCCCGCCCGCCTCCAGCTGGACCCGCCTCCAGCCCGCCCCTTCTTGCTATGACCAATAGAGTCCCTAGAGGGCTTTCAGACCCCGCCTCCTAGCCGCCTCTCCGCCTATAGTGCTGCTCTGGGGTGGGGCGCCAGGAACAGCGTCCACCCTGAGAGCCAGGCGGGAGGAGAGGTGGAGACTGGAGACCGTTGTGAGATGGAGAGACCCGCGGACAGTCGGCGAAACAAGGACAGAGGAAGACTCACAGAGAATTAGACACAAGCTGGCATGAGGAAGCCCACAGGACAAACGTCACGAGAGAGAAACTGAGAAAAGAGAGATAGGAAACCTGGGGGCCTTGGCTGGGCTCGGCTGTCAGAAGCTGTGAGATCCCAGTCCCCCTCCCCACTTTCCTTCTATGGTTGTGGCGACTCTGTTCCCTAGGGAGCCTTCTTCGCCTCAATCCAAATCCACCCCAGCTGCGCTTTTCCTCCCTATGATTTTTACCTCTGTCTTTTTATTTCTCCCCATGTGCCTCCTTTTGGTTCATCCTGACCCCAGTAAGGCGATCTGTATATAGGTAGGGGTTTTCCTTGCCCCTGTCGTTCCCCTGCTTACCACAACTGTCAAATCAAGATGGGCTTGGCTCACCATGCCAGGGACTAAGAAGTCAGGAAGCTAGGGTGGCTGGCAGTCAGGCTGTTGGCTGATGAAAGAGGACAGGTGAGAGGGGCTGATGCCAAAAAAGAACTGTGGAGACCAAGACTAATGGGTTCAGAGACTACACAGAAAGGGACTCAGAGACCTGAGACTGACCGTAAACAGCTGCCCTCACCCTGTATGTCCCAGGGGCCATAGACTAGCGACTCCAGGCCCTTCCAAGAGCCCTAGACTTCCCTCCAAAGCTCTAGACTGCTCCTGCTCCCTCCCACCCTTTCTCCTGAGAATGTCAGTGAGGAGGAAGAGGGAGGTTGCTGCAGACCCAGCTGCGTGGTTTTCCACCTTGGTACTGGATTCTTCCCTGTGTGGGGTTGGGACAAAAGACATTCTCAAAATTCTCGGGGAAGTAGGTGGCCTGGGAGATGCTGGGATTCCCAGGGAGTGTTGCTGAGTGAGTATTTCTACCCACATTTTAGACTCTGGACTAGAGAAAGGAAAGATGTTTACCATTTCTGCACTAGCCTTAACTGACTACGATCCGAATGGATAGCATCACCAACTAGGCTAAGCCCCTCAGCCAGTGACCAAGGCATACACATACACATACACATACACACACACACAAACACACACACACACACACACACACACACACACACACACAGATACAGGTGAATCAGTAAGATAAACAGAATCAGAAACAATAGGTAGAAACCTACACAAGGTTAACCACTAAGGTAACTTCAGTCCAAAACAATACAGTGAACCATTGGAGTAGCCAGGGATTGTTTTGAAGGCTCAAATGAAATGTTGGGAGAAAGATAACCAACATTTAGAGGCATGAGAGCCAGTGTAGTATAGTGGCACACATTATAATCCCAGAATTTTGGCAGGAGGACTGCAAATTTGAGTCTAGTCTGGGCAATTTAGCTATACCATTTTTCAAAATAAAAATTAAAGGGCCTGGGATACAGCTCAGCCACACAGCACCTGCCTGGCAAGTGCAAGGTCATACATTTGATCCCCTGTATCTAAATAAATAAATAAATAAACAAAAACCTGGGGATGTAGCCCAGTGCAAAAGGACTGGGTTCAATCCCAATACCACCAAAAACAAAACAAAACAAAAGGGAGCATAGATCAGTGATACAGTACTTGTACAGCTTACAACAAGCCCCTGAGTTTGATCCTCAGCACTGCACAGGTTTGGAAAGAAATGGATGAAATTGGTGAAGTTATTTCAAAGGACAAATCAAAACAACTCTGCTCCTACCCCACTGGTGTTCTGAAGAAAATCACACAGTCCCACAATCTTTATAAATGCAGCATCTCCAAACTGGGAAAATCACTCTCTCCTAATACGCAAAGTAGCCACTTCAAGTCGTCTCCTCTTTTTTCAAGTTCCTTGCCTCATCCCTTCTTTACCCATCTCAGCAGAAACTACACCTATCTTCAGAGAAAATTAGAACAATAAAGTAAGAATTCCAACTTTTGCCTCCTGCAGATGAACTCAGCTGCATTATTATATTTCTCTCATCCTGGTGGACAAAGCATGAAAATCTCCAGTCCACTGTAATATGCACTCCCTGCTGTGTGTCTATCCTACTCACCTCTGTATTCTTTCCATTCAGCACAGCACTTGTGCATAGTAGGTGTTAACTATTAACACATTAGTTGAATAAATCTGTATTTTGAGCCAGGAATGGTGGCAAATGCCTATAATCCTAGCATTTGGGAGGTTGAGGCAGGAGGATTGAGAATTCAAGGCCAATTTGTGTTCCATAGCAAGTTCTAGGCCACTATGAAATATAGTGAGACCCTATTTAAAAAAAAACAGGGCTGGAGATTTAGCTCAGCGGCATAAGTGGCTGCCTTGCAAGCAGGCAGTTGTGAGTACCGATAAAAACAAAAACAAACAAACACCCCCCAAAGAAAGTAATAAGCACTAAGGAGTAATAAAATCCAAGATGTGTAAATTTTGTTGTAAAAAAGAGAGGGAAAAAAAAAAAAGAAAAAGAAAAAGAGCTCTAACGGATATAACAGCAAGTGTGTTTGGGGGCGTTAAATAGCTGACTTTATCAATGTTTTTGGAACATTGAACACAGCTGTTTGCAGTCTCCCTGTTTGAATGTCCACCTTGTGTTCTTTGATACTGTGATTTGAGGAACTATTTTCAAGAAAATAGTGTGTAATCTACTAGCAGGTAATTTCTTACTGTTATGGTTTTTTGTTTTGTTTTGTTTTGTAGTTCTGTATTGCGTGTACCCTTACGCCGCTTTGGTTTGTTTTGTGTTTTTCTTTTTTTCCTCTTAAATAAAAAAAAAAACAAACAAACAAACAAAAAAAACTAAACTAAAAAAAAAAAAAGACAAGTAGATAAATTCAAGTCAGCCCCTACAATTTAGGATTTAGTAAGACTCTCTCTCTTTCTCTCTCTTACACACACACACACACACACACACACACACACACACACACAATAACAATAATAATTTAAAAGGACTACAGATGTAGCTCATTGTGAAGGCACTGGGTTTGATCCTCAGTATTGAAAAAACTCTGGGTTGGGCATGGTGTCCCATACCTGTAAAACTAGCACTCAAGGGGCTGGGGATTTAGCTCAGCAGCATAAACACTGCCTTACAAGCACATGGTCATGAGTTCGATCCTGGTACTAATAAAAAGTGGGAAAAAAAGTAGGAAAACCAGTACCCAGGAGGCTGAGACCAGAGGCTCACTGTGAGTTAGATGCCATCTTGGGCTACATAGTGAATATAAAGCCAGCTTGAACTACTCAACAACATCCTGTAACAAAAAAACAAAACAAACAAAAACTAGCCAACTAACCAAACAAAGCCCAAAGCTCTGTACTGTTTTTCCCACTTTAAATATGGGAAAGAATTGTTGTCTGAATTTCATATTGTCTTCAAATCCTTAATCCTTTCCTTCTTTTTGTTTTTTGTCTTTTAAAGACAAGATCTCACTATGCAGTTCAGACTGGCCTTGGGCTCACTTTGGAGCCCAGGCTGGTCTTAAACTTGCAATAATTCTGCAGCCTCAGCTTCGTGAGCTGGGGTTACAGGTACGTGCCACTACGCCAGGCAAACTGCAACCACATTTACTTCTGAATCTTTTTAGTTTTTGCTTCCACTGATCCAGTCACACTCACTGAACAGCTCTTCAGTCTATTCATTTGTCCTCTTAGTGGCATTTGACCCTATTAATCTCTATTTCCTTGAAATGCTCTCCCCTTTTGGCTCATGCAGTTCTACTTTCTCTTGACAAAAACTAGGGGCTTAAAAAATTCTTAAAATTGGGGGCTGGGGATTTAGCTCAGCGGCATAAGCACCTGCCTTGCAAGCAGGCAGTCGTGAGTTCAATCCCCAGTACTGATTAAAAAAAGAAAAAGAAAAAAAATTCTTAAAATGCCTGTAATCCCAGCACTTGGGAGGTTGAGGCAGGAGGATCATTGCAAGTTCGAGACCAGCCTGGGCTATAAAGTGAGCTCAAGGCCATCCTGAACTGTATAGCCAGACCCTGTCTCAAAAAGACAAAAACAAACAAACAAACAAACAAACAAACAAAAAACTTAAAATGAGTCAGGCATGGTGATGCACACCTTATAATCCCAGCACTCAGGAAGCTAAAACAGAAGAATTGTTGCAAATTTGAGACCAGCCTGGGCTACAAAGTGAGTTTAAGGCTAGCTCGAACTGCACAGCAAGACCTGTGAATGGCTTTATTTCTATTAATATGCCTTCCTTAGCTTTCTCTAACCAACCCCTGGAGTGTGGGTGTTCTACAGAGTTCCTTTTTTTTTGTATGGGGGAACAAACTCACAACTTCGCACTTACCAAGCAGGTGCTTGTGCTGCTGAGCTAAACCCCTGGCCCTAGAGTTCCTTTTTTTTGAGACAAGGTCTTACTATGCATTTCAGGCTGGCCTTGAACTTACATTGTAGCCCAGGCTGTTCTCAAATTTGCAACAATTCTGTTGCTTCCGCCTCCTGAGTGCTGGGATTACTGACATGTGCCACCACCATCGGCTAGGGTTCCTTCTTAATGTACACATTTTCTTGGTTAAAATAATCCAGCTGGGCATCATGGTGCATGTTTGTAATCCCAACACTCAGGAAGCTGAGGCAGGAGGATTGATTGTTGCAAATTTGAGATCAGCCTGAGTTACAAAATGAGCTCAAGGCCAGCCTGAACTGCATA